AGGTACTGATGTTGCAGTTGTTTGTGACTGTTCTGCTGTTGCTGAAAGCCTGAAGATAGGGCTAAGTTAGCAGCTATTGCCGGTTGTGTTGCTGCAACAGCTGTTGCTAGTGAGGCAGGTGTAGCAGCTTTTGCCAGTGGCATCCATGTAGCAGCTGTTGCTGACGGAACTGATGTTGGTGTAGTTTTCAGTGGTGCTCTTAAAGCTGCATCAGTGCTACTGCGCAATATGAGTTCATAAAGTAGATGTCTGAAGGTAAAGACGTAGCAGAGTTTGCAGTGGGCAGTGATCATCTGAATAATTAGAAATTCCATCCCGACTTCCATTTAATGGAACATTATATTGGCTTGCTAAAGCATTTTGAAGGAAATTGATTCCATTTTAATCTGTACATATAATTCATGGGTTTTTATGTATTAGGCTTCATGACATTTGATTCGTAATTTTAGTTGTGAATCACCAATGCAGCGACTTCAACCAGTCAAGCGCAATGGTGATTCCATCGAAGGCCTCATCTTGAGTCCAGTCTGAAACTCTTAATCTTACGAGCTTTCAACCGCAGCATGACCTGAAACTTTGTAACAAAAATGAAACGCTCGGTTAGGTGGGTGAGGTTAATCTTTCTTATTTGCATTATTTACATCAATTTCAGATATTTTGCTTAAAATCTACACGTTATTATATCGCTGGTTCAATGAAATGGTAATGGTTTGAAAGACAATCTCGCACTTTTTTGGAGAGAACCGATAAATCATTATTGATCGTGAAGGCCCCAAAACATGACGGTTGGGCGGAGTGATTGAAGGCTAAAGGGATTATATTAAGTAAGGAAATCAAGTTTTATGGGAAAATAAATTGTGCAAATTGAAGTTCACTTTGGTTGACTGTAATTTGGTTCAGCTTAAAAATGTAAATCCCGCAGAAAATATAATGTGCATTCACATTCACTACTCGTTTCCCGTGACCCAGTTATTTTTATTTCCATTATATTTGTACGATTGCGCACTATCAGTGAAGTCTCTGGAGGCAAAGTCTGGAGGATGCAAGGGAGCGAGACTGGAGCCTTTGGTCATAAAACGCTCATTGCATTAACTCGGTCTTTGGGAAGTAATTCGAGAGCCTGCGTGGCAGCGCCGTTGCCTATTACAACGAACTCTTCTCAACAACGCCTCTAGTTTGTAGAGTTTTAAAACTCTTGTGCCACCCCGATCTTCAATTGAGTCTTAGTAATTTAAAAGTTTTGCATGAGGACACTTCTCGCCGAGAGGCAATAAAGTCTTGAATCACAGTTTAAGTCACGTTTTTACTGCCTTACTCTCATCGCATACTAAATCTTACGAACTTGAACTGTGGCTGTCATAAAATGTAAGATTTAGTTGCCTCTGAAATTTTTCCAGAAGGTAGGTTTTAAATGAATTCTGCCTAAAATAAGGTCTAATGTATTTCCAGCAACATAAGAAAATAAAATAAAGCAAAAATTTAAGTTCCCATCCATATTTTTTTTATAGATGTTTGGTGAAAATATAAAAATTACCATTTTGTCCCGTCAGTTCAAAGAGTGTTTTGCCATTAGTATATCTATTTATGATTAAAATTTGCTTAATTTATCAGAGACCACATAGCGAGTGGCTATTTTGATAACATCTCATTAATTTAGAGAACAATAAAAATATAGCACTTTATCAACGATTGAATTGTAAGTATTGTACAGTTTCTCATAATGCTTCACCTTCGTGTCTTTCATATAAAAAATATTAAATTTTTACTCGAGAGAAACTCTTACAATGTCAAAATGTGGAGGGGCGTGTTATTTTTTGCCTCATGTTGAATGCTGACAAGAGCAACACGAGAGCCACATTCTCATAACCGTGAAGTTTGAAATGAATTCCGCCTCGCGCAACTCGCTTGGATTCTTTTATGAGTTTTCTTCTGGACAAAGCCAGGCGAATTGTATGTTTTTTGAGAAGGATATTCGAGAAGTTTTTAGTTAATTCGGGGGTTTAGGGGTAAACATAAGCGGCGCGTCAGTGCCGTGCCATGTTGGCTTCAAATAAATGAATCCCTTAGCTTAAAAGTTCTACAATTAAATTAGAGGGACAAGGAGTGGTCCTCGCTGCGGTCTCGACATGTCGAGCTCAGGTCGAGGATATATATCCACAAGATCAGAGAATAAGAATATTTCTTCACATGAATGACGACTAACGATTCTTGGATTTACAAAAGTTTTGAGCGAAACATTTTTGTGTGTTAAACTCTAATTACTTGAAATTTAATGTTCCTGGTGGTGTTTGCATAATATTTTAATATAGCGGCCATGAATGGCAGGTCAACGCTTGGTTGTGTTAGGATTTCTTGTCTCGCAGGCGTGAATGAAGTTAAAGCTGCACCAGCACCTGCTGCAGCTTGGGAGGCACTTCTCATTAAAAGTTACTTGTAACTTTGCTGCTAATTTTCTCCAGTATGTAATAATTACTTCAATATTAAAGGTGTCTGTAGTTACGAGACAAAACAAAGTTGCATGCTAACGAGAAAAACAAAACCTTATTTCTCAGTCACCAAAATAAAGACAAGATTTTAAAGCAGCTTAGAAAATAGTAACTCGAAATTTGACGACAGGTAAATTGTCCATTTTGCCATTTTGTATATTGGTAAATATTGTACATATATCAGCAAAATGGATTCAATAGGCAAGTAAAGTGAACAATTAAAAGTATATGTGTCGAGTGTTGCGGCGAGTAATTCGAGCGGTGCGGCCACACAGGTTCTTCAATTATATAATTTTCAAAGACGTATCTTGGTCAGCCACTCCACTGATTCATGAGAGGCTTGAGCGACGGTTGCCATTGGAAGCACCAGTTTTAGTCTTTTTCCACTAACTTATCAAGTTCAGCTTGTAAAAATATCCTGCAGCACCTCCCCAACTCGAGTCAAATTCCACGGTAATTCATGCGGTTTAGTGAGAAATAGAAGGGGAATTTTAATTTAGTCAAATATATTATTGTTGACGACATTATTGGATAAGGCAACATGGTTGTTTGATATATTTGGTTTGGTAAAGCGGCAAAAATGCCGGGCATGACGATCAAGTTTGTGACGGTTCGTACCACCGGTGCTGTGCAATGCCTGGCGGTCCTCTGGCACTTGTAGTGAAGTATCTACATGTCGAGACAGAGCCTTAATTTTATATCATANATTCTACAGTACTATCCTACAGTACTATCCTACAGTACTATTCTACAGTACTATTCTACAGTACTATCCTACAGTACTATTCTGCAGTATACTATTCTACAGAACTATTCTACAGTACTATTCTACAGTACTATATCCTACAGTACTATTCTGCAGTATACTATTATACAGTACTATTCTACAGTACTATTCTACAGTACTATTCTACAAGCGCTTTAATTAGCAACTCCAACAATCAAAGTAACGCCACTTGAAAACTACATACACATTACAAAATTAAAAAATATATTTTATGAAATGTTAAAAGATATACTTACGTAAACGGCTCGAGAAAAAAAGGCCTCATAGCTTCTTAGGCTCATAGCTATCTGTGCTGGCGTCACTTGAACAAGAAACATTATAAAACTTATGATAAATGGTTTGCTGTTGTGAAGTGTCGTTACTTCAAGTATGATAATTAAAAATTATCTCTACGAAAAATTGATGCCTGATTCGCGTAATTAAAGTTCGAAGCTAGAATTTTGTTAATTCATCTGTTCAATCCCTAAACTCTTATAAATTTTTTTAATATTTATCAAGTTAGTTGTGCTCAGGAATGATGCTTAACGATTTACGATGAGGCCCAAGCAAACAAAATGGCTCAGCCGATGAATTTTTATGATTATCCACGAGTTATTGCTTCGTTTCAAGGCGCAATATTGGCTATTTATTATTGGACTTAGTATTGAAGAGGCCACATTAGGAGCCGCACCGTCAACAGCTATTAGCTGGAACAAAATTATCCGTTTGAGTTAATTTTAATGCACGATCGTTTAGTTTCATTCCAGAAAGTTGCAGGGCAAAATATCCTTGCTGATATTTTTGAGATATCCTATTTGAGAGATCCAAGTTAAGTAGCTCCAAATTAGATAAAAATGTTATGCAAGTTCCATAAAAATTACGACTATGATTCCACAACCATCTCTTCAATTTATGAATCTTGCTTATTATATTCATGGTCTTTTCCCTTTCATTCGCGTTTTACGGATAAAAATTGTTCTCTCATTTATTCAGTACGTAGCACGTATGTATCTATGTTACCCACCCAAAAGCATGGTATGTATCTATGTTACCGAAAGCTTTCCTCCATCGGTGGTTCGCGTAAAAGATTTTATGTCTCTTTCTTTCCTGCACTTCCCTGGACGAAGTCGTGCAGCTTGAGCAGACCTTCCAATATGAGTCCAATAATGGCAGAGCAACAGATCCTCAAATGGCGTGGACGGAAGGGCCCACAGAGAGAGCTTGAGCCGATCTATATCAGGATCTCAGTGCCAATAACCGCGTTGATGTTCGCTTCTTGACCTCGGTACTCCAGCTATATCGGCAATCGAAAAGGCAGACGATTCGTATTTTCACCATTATTAAATAAGACGATTGACTTGCTTTAGATTATAAATAGAGGAAAAACGTATCGATTCATTTACTAACATCTCAATCAGAAAAATTATACATTCAACCGCAGGCAAGAAATTTAAAACATTCGCTGCTGCTGGCCTGGTGCTTAGTATTCTTAGTATCCCTAGTATTTGTTTCGGACGGAACAGTCCCAGGCTACGCTGAAGCGCCGCCACCAGCGTAGTCGTGCATGGAATGCATTCAGATACTGTGTATGAACTCATGAACTTATTCACAATCCAATTTAAGAAGCTAATGTTATTCATTGGTAAAATCAGTTCAATTCAATCCAGCGAACATCTTATGATCGCTAATGCGTCGAACTAAACATTGTCCACATCATTTGTGCTGTGACTAAACGACATTTGTGCAGGGAAATGCCGCCTCTGCAATACCAGGCCAAAATATTTACTCGGGCGCAGCAGCTTGGACGTCGAAATAAGCCATGAAATAAGCCGGTCAACATCTCCTCCGATGGCTAACTCATCAGCAACTCAACGTCTTGTACCTTCAAGCCATCGACAGCACCAACGACACAGCTCCTCACCCTCATTCGCAGTCTCTGCGGTGTACACAAACCCATTGCCGCGCAATAATAGCGCAGCTCCCAGCAATCCAAGTGCTGGCGCTGCCATTGACGCCACAAATTCCTCTGCTTGCGACGGTGTCGAGGTATTGAATGCCTCGCCGATAAGGAATGCCAACGGGACCTGCATTTCTGACTCGGCTTTACACCTGAGGGTCGGGCGTACGGCAGGTCGCATTTCCGGGAGTTTGGAACTGATCGCGCCAACCATGAGAAGGCGGTCTCGTAGCAGCGATCATTATGACTTCAACGCGAGCGGTGAGTGGAGTGTATCATCGATCATTATAACTTCTACCCGGGCGGGGCGTTGAGCGTGGGATCGATCATTATGATACTCAAAGAAATGATACCCAAAATTTGTAGTTACAAATTTTTAATGATATACTACAGGCTAATCAATTGCATTTGCAAAATAGTTGATTTCACCTTTTGTTTCGTGGCAGAATTTCACTAAATACTATACAAATTGAAACATGAATGTAAAGTTGCCTGCAAAACATGTCATGAATCGAGATCTATTTTACTTAAGAAACCAAGTTTCTCGAAAACAAAGACACAAAATACAGGTTTTTGCGTGCATGGCACTGACAATTTGTCGTGGCCAACTCATGTTTGAGAAAACTTTCGAATGTTGTTCGTCTGTCGGTGGGGAACTTTCGGCATGGAGTCGAGATTATATTGCTTTGCAAAAAATCTTCAGGCTTTTCATTATTTGAATTCGGATTGCAACGGGAATTGAACGCTCTTACGCACTTTTGGAAGGTTTTGACATATTGTGAGAAGTTTTGAATGTGATGATGAAAAGTCAGACAATGTTTTCGCCTCGTTGCGAAAGTACATTAATTAAGTTACAATAAGGCATAAGGGAAGATCAAGGTGTCAGTATGACGACTTGTTCTGAAAGAATCTCAAGTAAAATATATTTTTGAGACATGTGAAAAATATCCATGACTAATCGTTATTTTACTATTAGTTCTAAACACCAATTTAAATGGCATGTATGAATTTAATTCGTTTCGGATCACTCAAAATCGGGTTTAAATGTCTTTACATTTACCATCAAATCGCGGAATACAAATAATATTAAAATTTATAAAAAATTTAAATGCTGAGACAGATCCACCGCCATACTCGTGGGTGACGGGGTCGATATGGCAGGACGTCACTCGTAGCGGCGGTGAACTGCGCTGCATCGGCCCTGCACTGCGGAGGACGGCCAGTGCCGACCGTAACGGCGATGCGGCATCTGGCGTAGAGAGATGGCGGGACAGTGTGGGGACTTTGCCACCACCTTACGAGATGCCTAATGATCAGGTACCAGGACCTTGAAGACAATGGGCTCAGGTGACTGAGGGACCAGAGTTCAGAGGGACAACGATAAATTATGATCTGGGGTACGGTACTGATAGGGAAACAGCGCCACATGAATAGCAGTGACCAAAATATGATGTGTTTTCTGAATTAGTATACGGTCTTGCTACTGAGAAGTTGTTTTGAATTAACTATAAAATGCAATGGACAAATGCCTGCATATTTTTTTGGCAAATTTATTGGTAATTTTGATGATTTTCTTAGTTTCCGCCGAGCTACGAGGAGGCGCTAGCCAGCTGTCAAAGACGCCCAGAACCACCTGTCCTGTCAGCCTCGCCCATCATCCAGAGCCTACAAGCAGCTGGTGCGAAGAACCGGTCGCATCCACTTATATATTTTATTTTATACAATTTTATTTCATATATTTTATGTCGCTATCGTAATTGAACACTTGCTTTCATGGAAAAACTATTTCAAAATAAGAAGCAGACGATTACTGTAGTTCACGATGAATAGTTTGTTCACAGATTAATAATTGGGTTGCAGAATGAGCAGCGTTACCTGTCTGGCACTTAAAGATTAACCAACACGAATATTTTTTACTGATCTTAACTAGTTCAGATGATGCTTAGAAATGCAGTCTGGAGAATATAATTTCTTTCAGAGGTGTCTCTTTTTAACGTCTACTATGATTGCTATAAAGCTCAGGAAAAGAATGGCCAATTTCTTTCTCGCTGCTAATTTCTGCACTCAACTCCGTTTACGTTATACTGGTGATAAAATGTACTAGAGCTGTTGAGGTGCAGAAATTTCTTAAATTTCACTTATTATCAGAAATTCTGTATTGCAGACTGCAGCATCATGATGCTGCCTCCGAGCTCCGTGCTGCACGAGCAATCGATGCTGCTCGATGCCCAAAGAGATGTCGATGAGCAGCGTCGAGTCATGCTGCTCGAGTCCGAGGACGAGATGGCGCAAGATCTTCTCGACGCGCAGCGGATCCGACGGGAAGCTCAGATCGCCGAAGATCTGGAAAGGGATCTTGATCTGGAGGAGCAGCGATTGCAACGAAACCTGCAGATCGCCCAGTACTGCGGCTGCAACAAATGCCAGGTAAGATAAAATAACGAATGCTTCCGGTTTCTGTTCTGGTCACCCTTGGGTGAATTTTTATAGATTAGGGGAACACTCTTAAATATTTAGACTTTTCAGAAGTGGGGAAACGGCAATTAATTCACCCATTGCAGGCAGGAAAAGATGTTAAAGTAGCAGTTATTCAGGTAGCATACTTTTATATCCAAAAATGCGTTCGAGAAACATAGTGGCCAACCAACATGATAGATGAGCTAATATGTTATTAATAATTAATATAATGATTGATGAGTGACAGTTTATCAATGCACGTATGTCGCCGGGACGGGCTGGGTATATTTGAACGGCCAAAACTCTGCCAGCCAGGTTCTGCCAAAAGCAGCCAGCACAGCGATGACGTCAGGCGCTCTTATCGTAATTGCCTGGCGCACCGATGACGGCCACAGATGATGTTCGATGCTTGTCTAGCAGCAAGACTTAATTAAAAATTATAGAGGCCATTTATTTACCATTCGATCATGAAGTTGTTTGTTTGATTACGTTGATGTGGTCTGGAACCCAAATAAATAGCGAATTTGGAGAGAAAAGTTGTTTGATTTAAATTAAATTATTTGTAAAGGGACCACGCATGTATAAGAATTTCATGCGATTATCTATTGTGCTTTCTAGAATCAGAAATTATGTAATTCAAAGGCTATATTTTTTCAATTGTTGTATTGCTTATTCAGAATGATAGAGCATATTTAAATTTACCAAATTTATTTTACATATTAGTTTCAATTTTCTTGCACTTCGAAGGAAATTTCTCCTCAGCCTGCACAAATTTATCCATGCGTACTACAGTGCTCGTTTTTAAATTAATCTCTTATAGCAACGGCCTCTTAAATAAGTATTTCAATACTACCGTTGATAACAATTAAAGAAAGGCATAAGAAACGTACTTAGATTAAAGGAATACTGCCGGGGAAGAAATAATGTTTGTTATTTTTGCAGAACCTTTACTACAGCTACTACTACGGAGGAGACCCCGTGGCCGAAGCTTCGCCATTTCCATTGGAGACTCAAGTGATTATGCAGGAGGTGCTCAGCGATGGCCTGGCATTCTGCTCCTTGATGTGAAGAACAAGACAGGAAGGATCCATTCAACGATCAATACACATGGGCAGAATAGCACTTCGAAACTTTATTATCTACAGAGGATTATTCAAACAATTGAGTTTCCTGTTGCTATATTGACACTCCAATCCTCATGGGTATGGTGATCATGAAAGCATTGAAACATCTGTATTGCAGTAAGCTTCCACATGCTTTTCGGGGAAAGAAGGCCTATTGGTATGGAATGCCTGCTCAGTTATCGGGACGATGGAGCATGCCAGCATTGGAATATCGGTACAACCATTAAGGGTCTAATTCACATTTAGCTTTTCAGATCGCGGATGATAATATTCAATAAAACTATAACGAAAGAAAACTTAAATCGTCACGGAAAATTGTAACGTAATTTCTTTTGTAAGGAATTAAAACCTATTTATTTCACACATTGTGGTTCTCTTGGGTGAAATGATTATAAATTACCTAAATTAATTTTAATTTAGACAAAAAACGTTCAAATATCTTTAGATAATCATGATTAACACAGAGGCAGGCACATGAGTTATGATCTTGTTCAAGCGAATCACTAATTCGGTGAAACTAGAATTTTCTTTTGTCGGGATCTTGAAGCGGACACCGGTCGCTCACTGCCCATTTTCTAATGGACTCAGCTCTTTCACTGTCCTAATGGACTCAGCTTTTTCACTTCTCTAATGGACTCAGTTCTCTCACTGTTCTAATAGATTCAGTACTCTCACTGTTCTAATGGACTCAGTTCTCTCACTGTTCGAATGGACTCAACTCTCTCACTGTTCTAATGGACTCAGTTCTCTCACGGTTCCAATGGACTCAACTCTCTCACTGTTCTAGTGGACTCATCTCTTTCACTGTTCTAATGGACTCATCTCCTCTCTCTCTCTCTCTCTCTCTCTCTCTCTCTCTGTTCTGATGAACTCAGCTCTCTTTCACAAATGATCTAAGTTTGCTCGCACTATTCTATTGGATTCAGTTCGCTCTCACTGTCAAAGACTTTCTTGGGGCGTGATGCTGACACCCCCAAATAGCTCTTCCAACTGGTAATAATGTCTTAACTCGCACAGATGTCTTAGCTAACACTCATGTCTCAACCCAAACATTTCTTTAACTTACACACATGTCTTGACTAACACACATGACTTAACTATAAACACACATATCTCATCTAGCGCACATGTTTTAACTAACACTTATAGCCTATCGTTACCAGCACACATGTCTTATCTAAAACACATGTCTTAACTAGCACACATATGTCTTTTCTAAAACACATGTCTTAACCGACACACATGTCTTCACTAGCACACAAGTCTTTACTAGCACACATGTCAGATTGATTTTAAGTTAAACAGATGTTGCTGCCCTACGCGAACAGGGAAGATAAGATTATGTCAGAAGCAGGCAAGGATATATCGAATATGCTTGGGGCGTTTTTGTCTGTTTTGTGCCAATGCTGAAATGATGCTGAAATGATGCTCTTTGCTGAAATGATGTTTCTAAAAAGTATTTACTATTGTCACCGGGTAATATTAATAATTATCTTATTTATGATCTATTCTGATTTGTTGTGCGTTGGAATACAGGTTAATAAATCGTCTCGTGAGGTGTCGCTTCCGACCTCTCATGCAGAAGGGTTTCTCTGAACACATTGTCCACAGAGAAGAAGAGAGCTCGTGCGTTTCCTGCCCGACGTGTGAACGCTGAATATTATTATTTGACCGGTCGGCGGTTGCCTACTGTTCCCAGCTAAGAAACAGTCCAAAACTGAGTTTATTGCGTCCAAATTTTGACTTAAATTATGTAAGACGAGAGGCAGAGGAAATAGAAAATGCAAATGTTATTACGATTATGGAATTTATTAAGAAGCATTGGAAGAATATTTGATCATCTTGTTCTATCATTGCTGAAGCAGATCAATTAATAGGAAATTATTAAAATATTGCAAAGCACTCCTTGTTTCAACTTCGGTAAGTTAGACAAGGTTGAGGCAAGACAGCAGAGTGCTTGCATTAAGTGCAGCGGATTTGTGTCTGCTAAAAAATTTGTTATTCTGAAGAAAAAATTTGAATCAGTGTTCAACGCATGATTTAATGATGTTATAATTAAAACGTATATGTGTGTATTATAAGAAATGTATTTATGTTCTCGATGTCAACCCCGAATAGTTAGATACTCCGTGTTGCCTCGGCCTTCACAAAGGCGGATTTTCCCTTTAATATTGTAAATGTTCCCGTCAGCTTCAGTAATTAGGTTCCCGTCAGTATTAAAAAACTACTATTCCCGTCAATACCCTTCACTATAATATATTATTGGTTCTCATTATACCGTTAGAAAAATCGCCGTAAAACGGTCATTCGTGTCCGGCCGCCACGTGAAAAAAACATCGCGTCGCCGTTTATTTACAGTTTATTCAAAACATCTTATACTCTCAAAAAAAAAAAAACAGCAAAACGGTTCAGTTTAAACAGGCGGTCGGCCACTAGAACGCCGACCAAACCGATTAATCACGGTTATTCCGAACAGTGTAAACTCAGTGTTTGGATCACAAAATTTTATTGTTATGCTTCATAAATAAAATCTATTTAGCAATATTAATTAAAGACTCGCCATGACAGATGTTTCCTTTTCTCGTCTTCCGAAGCGAATTATTGACCTGATTGTCTTTTTTATTTCGAGCATCGCTCTTCTTGTCAGACCAGTGACTGTTAATTATTAACCTGCGCCCCCATTAGCGCTCGTCGTCCCGCTAATCAATGATAATCAATGTTCATAAACCACTTCCTGGAGTTGGAACTTCATGATCACCAAATCAAGGACCTGAATGATTTGCTTGTGAAGTTTCATCTCGTAATAGTTTACTCTTGCTTACTTTAAATAAAAAATACAACCTGTCCAGGTGTTGTAATTCAACCTAGCTCGGCTAAAATAAATAAATTTATAAATTAAAAATTATGCAAATTCAGTCATATTCTTGTCTATAGAAATCTAAATTCTTTTTTCTCTGAATTATAAATTATAAAGAAAATTAGAAAAAGATGGATAATGATGCTTGAGATTTTTCATCTATATCAAGAGATGATATTATATTGATTTTAGTGTTGAATTATCCAGTTCGTCTAAACATTCCATAAACCGTGTGCCTTAATCATGATATATATCATCGGAGTTTTTTTGAACGCCATCTACAGCAAAGTACTACAGTTTCATATTGTATACTAAATCATATCAAAATTACCTTTTTTCACATTTTAACATAAGAATACCATGAAGTTTATGCAGTGACATAAACTCTTACGTTTACCCAAATAGTTCATTTGAATGAAAAATGTTACCAGATAAATTGTAAATTTTTAGCTTGCTGCATATAAAACTGATGCTTAACCTCCACGCGACGCTTCGCAGAAATAAGAATCTCGGTTGAATTTTCGAACTTAAGGTCAGATTGTTTCCAGCATCCTGTTGCTGCTTATTGCTATTTGAGTGGCAAATCAGCGGCCATACAAAGACCTCCAACGTGTGCCGCTATACAAGCTAACATTAACCTAAGCTGAAGCCTAACAATTAGCTTGCACTAGTCTGTGAGCATCGCTATAGTTTGCATAGCAACTTCGGCAGCAATAACCTTCACCTCCTTCCCATATAGCACCTTCAGCTGCAACAACCTCCACCTCCTTCCGATATGGCACCTTCATCTTCTCCCAATATAGCACCTTCAGCTGCAATAACCTTCATCTCGTCCCAATATAGCACCTTCAGTTGCAATAACCTTCACCGCCTTCCAATATAACATCTTCAGCTGCAATAACCTTCACCTTCTTCCCATATAGCATCTTCAGCTGCAATAACCTTCAGCTCCTTCCAATATAACACCTTCAGCTGCAATAACCTTCTGTGCCATGTCAGCTGCGCCATGTCAGCTGCAGCATGTCAGCTGTGCCATGTCAGCTGCGCCATTTCAGCTGCACCATGTCAGCTGCGCCATGTCAGCTGCGCCATTTCAGCTGCACCATGTCAGCTGCGCCATGTCAGCTGCAGCATGTCAGCTGTGCCATGTCAGCTGCGCCATTTCAGCTGCAGCATGTCAGCTGCGCCATGTCAGCTGCGCCATTTCAGCTGCACCATGTCAGCTGCGCCATGTCAGCTGCAGCATGTCAGCTGCGCCATGTCAGCTGTGCCATGTCAGCTGTGCCATGTCAGCTGTGCCATGTCAGCTGTGCCATGTCAGCTGCGCCATGTCAGCTGTTGTCAGCTGCGCCATATCAGCTGCGCCATGTCAGCTGCGCCATGTCAGCTGTGCCATGTCAGCTGTATCTGATCAGCTTCACCATGTCAGCTGCGTCATGTCAGTGAATACTCAAATGCTAAGCTGATGTTAAAATATTGTTCCACCAACCAATTATAATTCATTAACAGCAGAGAAAAGTATTTATTACCAGTACTAAACAAACTAAGTTTAACGAGCGATATTAAATAACGCATTAAACAAAAGGCGACTTTGGAATAAGTCCTCCATTATAACAAAGAACTCATCGTTCACTGCTGCTGTTTACATCAGGCAATTGGACACGTCAATTACACGTCTCACATGTCCTTGATAAGGTGGCGCTACAAGCGTAAACAAGCAGTGCTGCCCCGGGCGTCGTGCAGGGTGGAGTGTGACTTCGGTCCTTCCTTGCGTCTCGTGTGAGAACTTTCCAGCGTGGTGAAACGCAAGACTCGTATCATAGATTTGAAATATATTTTCCATAACTAAACGGTCTATTTAATTAATGAATATATGAACCAAAAGACGTATAAAGTGATATGGTTTGAATATGTTGTAAGAGGAGCATAAGCAAACACGCTAGTGAATTGATTATCCTGCTATATTCGTGACGACAGTATTTTTAGATTTAATCGTCGCTCGAATAATTAAATTAGAAAAAGGGTGATAATCGATTTTATTTTTTATATAATTTGCCATTCGTATGCTCTTTATGATTCTTAGTGCGGAAAAATGGTTGAAATTCGAAATTTGGATTCCTTACCAATCTGCATGACAGTTGTATTTTGGCGCTAAGTTTTAATCCTTTATTTGGACCTTTGGAATTGTCCTCACAATATTCCGAGTCTGCGAATTATGTTTTCATGAGATTTTCATAGTTGTCAGGATGTTTGTTCACGGGGAAATACGTCATTTGAGAGGCATGTTTTCTGACAATCTTGCTTTAAAAATGACCTATGTTATTGCAAATACTTTCAAGAACTAAATGATTTACAATTTATCATTCTGGAAACATTAATTGCACATGAGTCTTATTCTGTATTTCGTTGAAATTTATTAATTAAAAATATGCGTGACAATTAAATGCGATTTAGCCTAAGAAGAATCAACTTCTGTCATATGTGAATAAGTTAATTGGTATCTTACTTAAGCATGTGTTAGGTGTCATGAAAAATCTGAGGAAAAATCTGTGAAAAATCATTTCTCAAGATTTTGAATGCGCATTGAACGATTGTGATCGAAAAAAAAAAAACAATTGACATTCGAGATCAGGAAAATTCTACGCATAGCGGTCATGTCACAAGGGGGCCCGACATTTACTTGGCTTAGAAGCTAAACACTTTCACCTCTAAAAAAATGTATGAACAGGCAACCAACATCCCCAGAAATGTTTATTAAACGCAAATATCATGGAAGGAAACATTTCTCTGACGTTAATTTTGGGCAGAGTGTATACATGATCAAGTTGCTAGCTTGCGAATGCGTCGCCTAGCAACCGTTGAGACGTGCAGATCGCAGCGCTGCGTACACAACGGTAACAATTTCTGCATTTAACAAAAAAAAAACATACAAAAGCAACAATATAATTTTTTCCTTGATTTTAATAAGTAAAAACCGGTTCAACTTTGGAAAAAAGTAGCATGTAAATTAATTTGCAAAAAAACTAATTAACTGAAGAAACAAACCATTCTTGGTTGTATGCGACATATAATATAATATATAATATAATATAGAATATAATATAATATGATGGACAAGGGTTCTATTGACAGGTTATAATGCCCCATTAAGGACATATCATATATTGGCTTGAAGATACGGCTATAATTACTCGAATTGCAGTAAATCAAGGCCCACTAAGTAATCACACTCAAATAGCAGTTTTCTTTTGGGTATTCAATGCGCGCTGCGTCTTCTGAATGGCGTGGGCGAATCTCGTAAGTTCGTAATCAAAAATCACTCAATTAACAAATAATTAAAAAATAAAATTTGTACCTTTCTAATTTCGCGCCAGGCCTACAAATTTATGGGCATTTAATTAAACGTAATACATAGATTTTCAGAGATTTCCTGAGGCACTTTCATTAATGCTATGAAATATATCAACGTACGCAGATGCTGATATATTGAGTATAACTTGTTGACCGCGCGATGTTGTATAGCGTTGCCCTACGATGCGTTTACAGGCCATAAATTGTGCCAGGAGTTGACACTGCAACTACATCGCCATGCTGGTACTGCCAGTGGTACTTACACTGGTACTTCAGCTGTGCTGAAGTACCAGTACACGCTGTACTGAAGTACACGTTCTAAAGTACACGTACTGAAGTACACGTACTAAAGTAAACGTACGGAAGTACACGTCCTGTACCAGTACTGAAGCACACTGTGACAAGTACTTCCACTGGTACTTACACTGGTATTCCATTGGCACTTCCACTGGTACTTCCACTGGTACTTCCCCTGGTACTTCTACTGGTAATTCCAATTCCACTGGTACTTCCACTGGTACTTCCACTGGTACTTCCACTGGGACTTCCACTGGTACTTCCACTGGTAATTCCAATTCCACTGGTACTTCAACTGGTACTTACACTGGTATTCCATTGGCACTTCCACTGGTACTTCCACTGGTACTTCCCCTGGTACTTCTACTGGTAATTCCAATTCCACNCGCACCCTAGCCGACACAATGGCCGGATTGAGCCATTGGCGGGCAATGCACGACGTGCCTAGGCGCACCCTAGCCGACACAATGGCCGGATTGAGCCATTGGCGGGCAATGCACGACGTGCCTAGGCGCACCCTAGCCGACACAATGGCCGGATTGAGCCATTGGCGGGCAATGCACGACGTGCCTAGGCGCACCCTAGCCGACACAATGGCCGGATTGAGCCATTGACGGGCAATGCCCGACGTGCCTAGGCGCACCCTAGCCGACACAATGGCTGGACTTAACAATTGGCGAGCACTGCCCGACGTGCCGAGGGCACCTTAGCCGACACAATGGCCGGATTGAGCCATTGGCTAGTCCGCCCGACGTGCCGAGGGCACCCTTGTCATATACTGCTAGCGATCTCTAAGGTAAAAGTCTCGCTTGGTAATATAATTGCTGGTCGTGACGTGTTCATGCAGTAGTCATGTAGGTGATATATATTGACTCGCATTTAATGGCAAGAGTCGTTAGTTGTACGTTGACACTAATAGATGATATTAGTACGTAATTTTTTATATGAGATTATATGGTTTGGAGTTAATTTTTAAATCTGTCCACTAATAATATTTTTTCTCCACTGTTAATTTCACAGTTATGTATGTTTGGAAATTGCACAAAATTTTGTCACAACTATTTTATCAAGAGCAAGAAAATCTGTGAGATCATTGTAGCGCCGAAAATACTCTTTTATCGTCACAAACAGAAACTGTTTCTGAAAATCATCGCACTGCGCAAAATATTATTTAATGGTAGAAGACGATGAAATTCTTGCAAGTCTTTTTAGATATTTCAACTCAGCCGCGGCGCATGGATCTGATGTGTGCCAGAGGCCACGCTGACGAGCTGCAAATGGATTTTTTGAATCAATTTTTCAAAAGATTTTAGAGCGGAAGGCCGAGTGAAACTAGTGAAGTGTAGGCATGCCGAGGACAAAAGATGACACGTTATGTTCTCCGATATGTTTTTATTTTGTTCCGAAGGCAGAAAATTTTGCTTTTCCTGTACATTTCATTGATTTGTTTGGTGTTTATTGTGACAAGACGGGAAGAGAACACTCATCGTGGGAGATGGTACCACAGACATTCAACCTTTGTAGATAACAAAAATGACGGCGTATACACCAGCTCAAAATTAGTAACAAAATATTTTATAGCAAAGGAAACCGAAATGATACAAGACTCTCATGATCTCAAACCCGCACATGATTGTGGTGAACATTCCTCCTACCCTTGTGACGGGAGGCGAGATGAGAATTATTCAGTTTTGGAATTTAGTGAACCGAAACTGACTAGCGCAACAAAACTTGCGCTTGACTTGAACAAAAAACGTAAAAATTATAATGAAGATTTATTTTTTAAGAAACAAAATATGTCAAGCAGCAGTCATGAAAAATCTAATATAATAAATTCAATCGACAAATTTGATGTTTCCTCTGGGCGCAAAGACAGAAAGATCGCGAGAAACAATGAAACTGATACCAACCCCGAGTTTCTTTTGAAGCAAACCGTAAAAGTCACTCAGCGGGGAGCGTCCAAAAGAAAAAGAAGCCGCAGATTAAAAATTCGCGAAGCTGAGCTTCTGAGGCGACAGCAGCCGCCATTTACTGATGACAATTCCTTGCTTGCCGAGCGACAATTCGAGACGATTTTCGGCGATTCAGAACATTTCGTGGACCGAGAAACCAATCTTATAATGGACAATATTTTGAGAACAGACATTACGTCGCTTCTCAGCAATCCGGAGAAAGTGGAGGCCATTACCTACAACGCTGCGGCCGTAATGAAGAAAGTCGTAACTCGGCGGAACTTGCCGCTGGACGAAGTCAGGCGCCTGAGATGGGGAGACATTGCTCGCCAAGTTACTTTCGAGATCAGGCCTAACTCTCTTATTCCCACAAATGAAAAGAAATTGCTCTGGGGCAGGAAGCACGCTCACTGGGGAGGAACAAAAGCTAGAAGAAGTGGGAAGAGTATTAGATACAATTCTACTCTGAGCAACTTACATTCTGATGCCACCCGCCCGTCTCACCTTACCGAGGCCCCGACGATCTCGAGAGCCATCATGGACAAGTATCTTACTGACACGCGACGACAGATCATACAGTCAGGAGACGTTGAGATCTTAAGCAGGGAAGATATTTATGAGGTTAATGACGATCCGTTGGTGGTTCATGAGCCAAGCAAAGAGGATCAGCTGGTGGCAGAAGATCTAAGCACTCCGCCCGCTTCTCAATGTTGCCTCAGCAACAGACACGTGCTGCCCCACAATCAGAAGTTACGGGAAGATTATCCCGGCACAGGAGGCTACGGGCAACAAGTTAGAGATTATGACTCGGACGCGGATCAGGCCGCCCTAGAAACCTACGCTTCTACTGAGAATAAGAATTTATTTGGCTCAAACAATGTAACTTCAGATGGATTGTATGTTAAATTCAACTCTACTGACATCAAATCAGATAACAAAACAAAGGCGAGACTGGATTTTCACCGCAATGCGGTCGATTTCCCCTTGCCCAGAGGCAATCAAAATCAGGATGATGAGGTGCAGAGCGCGAGTAGAAGTGATGCAGACGAGGTAGGAGGAGGACACTGGGACGATGACGTCTGGATTGCCAATACAGACCTGCCTGCTACATCAGCTTTCTTCTTCACAGTCGCCCCGAGGTGAGGCATCCAACTTGTATCCAATGTTGTATTTTTCGCTGCTGGAATATAACTATAGATAGTGGGTATAATATTGTTGTAGGTTTTTCATGTACGAAATTTTTAGTACTGTGTGCCCATGAAATTCATGACTTGAATTCCCTAATGTTTTCCTTATTTGACTCGCTTACTTACTTGAACCCTAAAAATTTGTTACTCAAAATTTGTTCGACTCACTACAAGTACAGTATAGGGTTTAGCTGATCTTTTAAAAACGCATTATGATCTTAGTATACAAACGGAAAAATTCTCTACCGATTAATTCATGATATTGCTAGTAATGTGGATTTTAGAACTTGATTTTTGCTTTCGATGGTATTTTCTTGAAAATGTAATAACCATGTTGTCAACCTATTCCTTAATGTACAATGTCGAAATTACATAACCTCTTTGGTGTACGCACTTGATTAAGATCTGTTGTATTTCTAAGCAGTTTCGCTCCCAGAAGAGCTGTCCAAGAACCTATTAGCATCAAAGAAATCACAGCTGAGAGAAGACGCAGTTCTCGACCAGATTATTTCTTACGGCAGCTCGTGACAAGAAGCGACCGCGCAAGCTTGCAGCAAGAGAAGTCCCAGCGAAACATCAGTCATCCAAGATGGTCAAAAAACGCGGAAAACTCGTCGCTCCGGCGATCAAATATTGAAAAAACAGAGCTCTCAACTGGAAGATTCATGGACAGAGGCCCAAAAGCAGTGCCTTCTTCTAAAAAATTCACTGTTAGTTCCGAGGGATTTTTGATACCAAGTGTGTCACCAACTCGAAGAAAAGAAGTCGATACGATTACTGACAGAATAACGGGAAAACCGACGTCACCACATAATGGCCCTGAAGAATTTTTTACAAACGATGATGCAGTCGCAAAAGTCCACAACCTGACAATCAATTATGATAGCTTCCGCATAAAAAAAGTTCCCTTCGAACACGAACTGGAGCCGCGGTACCAGATTTTCTTCAAGGATCGGGCGTTACTGCAGTGGGACTATACGAGACCTGCCTTCTTCCCATGGAAAGGGATTCCGGATTACTGCAGCAATTATGCAGTGAGGTGAGATGCAGATAGCAACACGCACCTTTCTTTATCAGTAAATTCTGTTGTTTCCACATTACGTGGCTGTGAAAACGGTCGATATCAATGAGTCGTTTTCGCTGTGTTCTGGGATGTTCTGTTCATTTTCACCTGTCATGTCTTAACTAATGTCGTTAGAAAACGTTATTTTTGCTACGTTAGTATGGACGTAGAATTTTAATCACATTATTGACATTAATCCTATCGAATTTCAATCGTATTACTGACACTAATCCTTTCGAATTTGAATCGTATTACTGACATTAATCTTATGCTGACATCGCGTATTGACAATACTTTTGGTGTATTAATGTTCGTTCCCTTAATCAAGAATTTTTCGCATTATAAAACGAAAAACACAGTTGGGATGAACTCCGGGCAGTTCATTTCGGCTTCAACTTGAAAAATAAATGCCTTCTTATTTTCCATAAATTTCGTCTCTCTTCACTAATTCATACTTGAATATTACTGACAATTTGCCGCACGAATAATAAGATTAACAAATTATCATTGTATTAGTGGATATCTCTTGCATTGTTCAAAGAAGTGGCTGCCAAATTTCGGCTTTCCTCACGTGATCGCGTGCAGGACGCGCGTCTATATGCCAAGCAAGCGTAACTGCCGCTCTAATGCAGGGTAATTTGCCAGCGAGTGCCAGTGACGCACAGCACGCGCGTATTACAAGTCTTCATGCTGAGTACAATATTTGCCAGCGAGTGCCAGTGACGCACAGCACGCGCGTATTACGAGTCTTCATGCTGAGTACAATATTATGAGTCTGTCAGCAACATTTCCGTGTCTCTTGACCTAGCTTTTATTCATATATTAGGCGCGGACGCGGGCAGTTAGGAGCATAATTGCTGTATTTGTTCGGCGGTGAAATATGTCTGATGAAGAGAGATGGTGCAGCAGACATTTAAGCGTGAGATGCTACGTTTTAAAATTAAAATGATTACATGGGACATTAAATTCAAATACTACATTGAAAGCTTCTGTTTGGCGTTTACTTTCAAGCAATTGCTCGCTGTTAAACCGTAAATTATACATTTTAATGGCATAAAATAATCTTGTGCGTAAATTAATTTTATCGAAAAATCCTATGTGGAATTTATCGAAGCTAGGTATTGTTGTGCGGTAAAACAAAATCAGTTGCAAATGAATCGAAATGAAAAAAGGCTATCTATTATAAACAAATTCATAAAAAAACTACCAGGTGTCGTTTAAAACATAATAGAAGAATTATTGTAGCTAAAACAACCACGGTGAACCGGTGCAGCGAAGTAAACAGCTTGTATTAAACTGATAATTCAGTAACACACATACGTTTAAATGCTTCTCAAAGCCGCTTAACAGGGATGATCACTCAAATTTGCACATATATTCAAAAGTTATCTTGCAAATTCATGTTTGAATTTAATAAAACATTTCATGTTCTATCATCCAATAATTTATTCTTATATTGAATGTACACAGAAAACGAATCTTTTGGCCGAACGCGCCGAACTCTGAATGTTTGACCTTCACATGAGCAAATTATTGTTCAATTGAGTGATAAGCTTGATCGCGTGCTAGGCGAGTAGCTGAAGACATCGCTTCGTGTCAGCTGGACCACTGCCACGCTACAGCTGGGGTCAGCTGGACCACTGCCACGCTACAGCTGGGGTCAGCTGGACCACTGCCACGCTACAGCTGGAGTCAGCTGGACCACTGCCACGCTACAGCTGGGGTCAGCTGGACCACTGCCACGCTACAGCTGGGGTCAACTGCACTGCAGTACACGGTGCAGTTGCGGTACTGCAATAATTGCTGCAATAAAAAGAGCAAATCCAGCGGTTGCTACAGTAGGGCAAGGGCAAACGCAGTTAATGTTATAGTAACATAAGCAGCAGAGTGTCCAATAGCTTCAGCTACAGCGTATGTAACGTATCAAGATATATACAACGTATCAGGATATATACAACGTCTCAAGAAATATAAAGTATCAAGATATATACAACGTATCCAGATAAATAAAGTATCAAGACAAGTCATTGCCTGCTTGGGAGAGACGAAGGTTCTCGTATCAATCAGCAGTCGGTAATAGTGGCTTTTCAGTATTGCAGTCACAATATAAATTACAGTGACCGCACCCTTAAATATTTGCTCATAACCATCAACCATTATAGTGTTCGTCGTCAACCATTAGGTCTTCAGCTCTTCAGCTCGTTCGCTGTCAACCATTACAGAGTTCGTTGTCAACCATTATAGTTAGTGTTTGTCGTCAACCATTATAGTGTTCGCTGTCAACCATTATCGTGCTCGCTGTCAACCATTATAGTGTTTGCAGTCAATCATTAGAGTGTTTGCTGTCAACCATTACAGTGATCACTGTCAACCATCAGAGTGTTTGCTGTCAACCATTAGAGTGCTCACTGTCAACCATTAGAGTGTTTGCTGTCAACCATTAGAGTGTTTGCTGTCAACCATTAGAGTGTTTGCTGTCAACCATTAGAGTGTTTGCTGTCAACCATTAGTGTTTGCTCTTACCTAAGAGCTTAACCCTAGACCCAGCCCTCGGCTCCAAGCGTTGACATTTGCTCATCACTATTGGAGCTTCCTTCCCTGATCGATGTCCGGTGTTCCCCCATTTAAAAATCATTGTGGGAAAGCCAGCCCTGAGTGGCCACTGAATACCTTCTTCCAATATTAATGAAGGTTAACATCCTTAATCACGTGGATCATTGATAGACAATCTTTCGACTTTTTTGTACAATGTTATGCAATTTCATGCGAAGGTTTAGAGACGCCAGAAAAATCTGAACATGATGTGGTTATGATATTTGCTAAATGGCGTGCTGATGGTATAAGGAAGAGAAGTAGCGAATCTTCGTAACTCTGTAAGACATCAGTGGCCACTTAGGGCTGGCTTTCCCTCATTGATTTTTTAATGGGGAAGCACCGAACAACAATCAGGGAAGGTAGCTCTAAAAGAGATGAGCAAATGTCAACACTTGGAGCCGAGGCCTGGGTCTAATGTTAAGCTCTAAAGTAACACAGCAAACACTCTAATGATTAACGATTAATACTGAGCAAATATTTAAGGGTGTGGTCGTCGTGGCTCATATTAACCTGCAATACATCTACACAAACTACTATGTAGATGGTCCAAATAACCCAAGTTTTCTGTTCTTCTTGGCAATTGAGTCGAAGAAGCAGATTTTTCCCCCACATCCACCATTGCACTTCACGAGTGAAGTCGAGCACAACGAAGTTGGCCTTAGCTCTAATGGCCGTTATATGCACATTATATAGCCACTAGAACTAAGAAATAGAAAAGGCAAATTCTTCTAGAATACATCTTATGTACTCAGTTTACAGTCTGTGGCTTCATTTAAACATCGTCGATTCCAATCACGCTCAACATTCTTATTGAAAAAATTATATATACTTGATTATATTCATATTAAATAAATAAAAATAAACAAATACAATTTTTTCAATTAGGTAAAATAAATTTTAAATGGCGTCAGGTATTTTGTCATAAAAATGTTGACGCTAAATTGTACATGAAAGTCTGACCGCAACAGAGGGAGGAGGCCCAGCCAGCGCGGTCCTGAGGATCCAGAAATAAAGCGTTCATCAAGGGAGGAAATTATCCTCACATGCACGGCGGCACGCAACGTTTACAATCATACTTAGTTCAGTCAAAATAATACAGGGAAGATAGTGCACTCTAACGGCGAGATTTGATAACATAACCAAGTATATGTTTCCTGTATTGAGTGGATGATAAATCTTATGGTTATTAATGATCATATTAGCAGATTTTCATTGTGATCTTTTATTTTTATTGTACTACCGGTAACATACATGTAAACCTGAGTACAAATATGACGCAGCACAGAATAAAACGAAATTATTATGAATAAAGAATTTTGAATAGTAGTAGATTTCTTAAATCGCTGGTATTATTTCCATTAACTAAATTCGTTGAGAAAGATATGGGTTACGAAATGGCAGAAAATTAATTTAATTATTGAAGTTTTTTTTAATAATTGGGCTTTCATAATTATTTGTTTACAAATTTGAAATTTCATAGATTTATTGATACAAAAAATATATAGGAATAGAATGCCACAAATGAAATTGTCTTTTTACGAATTCGTTTAATCAAATGAAAGCATATAACATATAGCGGTTTGTCACGCTGATTTAATGGTCACCGGAAAATGAATCATTTTTGCGTTGCTACCATCTTCTTGTATCAGTTCATCGTGTACGAAGTGAAATTGTTTCATTTATTAAAGTTAAATTTATTCCAGTTCAAGATGCCAGCAAAATTAGAATCAAAGTTTCATACTCTTTGTGTGAGATACTGAGTGAAGTGGAAAAGTTAATGAACATCGAATGGTGGATTCCGTGGACTTTCATAGCGATAGAAAATCTCTCAAAATTAGCGTTTATACTATATTTGTCTAAATTTGTTCATTTGAAGCCTGGCAACGGAAATAAGTAGGGCTGTTGGGGCTCGGATTTGAAAATTTATTTATCATTTTTTTTGTCGGTGGAATGATCAAGCGTCGCAAAAAGACGAGAATTAAGCTAATGAAAAACGATGAAAATTTTAGTAGAAGTTAATTAAAATGTGTCCTGGTACAAAAGTCGTTAACATTTTCCACAAATTTCGAACGGTGAATTAAAGAGAAGTTTCAATTAACAGAACATCAGTTAAAAATTATTAATGGAATTCGGGATTCCCAAATCAACAGAATTCTTCTCCAGCATTGGCATGTTAACCTAACATAAAAAATGCAACTCAGAACTCACTGCAGTGAATGACAGAGAGCGCATTTTTTCGTCGATGAAAACGTGAAGTCACGGACGGACAGACAAACAGACAGACGGACGGACAGACGGACCTGGCGAGCACAATAGCCCCTTTTTTCCATAAATGAGAAAATGCGCTAAAAAAACGTACTCTGACTGCACCAACAGGTTTTTGAAGCCCGGCAGCGCCCCTCGCACGCTGCTCGTGAGCTATCAATGACGCTTCCATAATAACGAGTTAAATGCATAAGAAAAAATTGCTCAAAGCACCAGAATAACGAAAAATGATCTAAATTGGATGCTTCAAGCCTTGCTTTAATCTGATTGGCTTCGCTGACGGCAGCAAAATCAATGAACTGATAGCGAGACCCTCGCGTTGTTCTATCGATAGCTTCAAAAAAGTATAAAACAGGGCGCTGTTACATGATAAAAAATTTCACATTGTTTATAAAATATATGTGACCTCACCTTGACCTGAAATATTGCGTAGAGCTTGACAATGGCAACTAACTACTAATTTTTATAAACATCACAAATTCAAATTAGATATACGATATAATTCATATCGGGAAAATATACGTGTCACGCACTCATTTCAACCAGACGCCATACCTCTTACATGCCGAAATAAGTTCCCTAAATAGGAATGGGAATGCTTATAAATAGGGTAGTATCCTTGTATGGACGGTGTCAGCGTAGGGCTGTCAGCTGTATGAGGCTAAAACTCTGAGCTTACGACGCACAAATGTCAGCGCCTGCAACATTTCCCAGAGTCTTGACTACGCGCAAAGTTTGCCTGAAAGGAAAATTGATCCCTGATGCAAATTTTATGATAAGCACAAGCACCTTCATTGAATAATTGAGGATTAATACAAAGATAATGTTATTTGATACAAGATTAATCCAGTTGATGAGTTGCGATGTTTTTTTTTAATTTTAAGCATAAATTTTTATTATTTAATATTCAAGGAATAACCATTAATAATAACCATGTTAACCATCTAATGTATAAATAGAGGAATTTAATAAAAAAATCAATCAGTTTGCTGCCAACATGAATGTTTTTTTCATTATTAAATTTTCATGATTCTTAGGACAGCGTGTTAAGTGAAGAGAAGTATACATACATACATCCGTCAGGTATGGTAAAATGTTCGATCACTCCCGCGTATCGTCTTACCTCACTCAAAGTCGACCGCGCTGACAACTTGAGCAAGTCTAAGTTAGTTCACTGAATATCCTGCTTAACTTCTGCCCATGGTGGCCTGCCGAAGTACGGCCTCTCACAGACTCTTGCAAATGCCACGGGCAGATCGAGAAGCTTATTTTTGGAATCTTTTAATAGACGAGCATATTTTGCCGTATTTACATTCAAAAGCCAAATTCCATTTTTTGTTCAAATGAATGAATTGCTATTTATTCTTTTATTTTATAGATTATTTCCAATAAATGTCAACTAAAGATCGTGATTTTACCTAAATTGTACCCTACCACAGCTTGAACAGTAATTTCCCTATGATTACTTTCGATAAAAATATTCACACTTGAATACATTTCGTAAATTTTCTATCATTCATTCATATATTTCAATCTAAGGTATACTGGATTCACATTTTCAGCAACTCGTACGTTGTCGATAAGTCATAATAATGGGACGCTGCCTTCGTTCACACTATATTAGAATAATGAGTATGATGGTGACTCAATAAATGGTGATAGGCGAGGTGTCTTCACTCACACTGTTTTCAAATAATGAATATGAGTTTCACTCGCTCGGTGGATCAACCAAAAATGCACGGCTAAAAACCGGACAAAAGAATGTAACAAATACAAAATTATTCACGACTACATCATCGCAAAATTATAAATACATTCAATTAAAAAATAATAACAAATTTTAAAGTTTAATTCTGAATTTGCCCATAATTCCAAACAATTCTACATTCTCCCATACGTATTTTAATAAAAAAATGTCGTAAAATAAATAAAACACTCGCGATTATTATATAAAAAATAAGAAGAAAACCTATTTTCTCGGGAATTCAAGTCGATGAGTGATAAAATTTTAATCAAACAAAGTCCAAAAAGTCTTTCTAAGTTGAGCGTGACTCCTGAATACTCGCGTCAATCAGTGTATTGGATTCATGAATACCTGACGAACACTGTTATTGATCCACTGTCGTTATGCAGGAACGTAAGCACGGTAATTAATGCAAGGATGGGCGGCACACAAAGACAGCTCGCAAGGCCGTTGCTTTGTGCATTATGAGCGTCCTTCAACTCCACTTATTTCTTAGTGCTTGTTTTTGTTCACCAGAAAGTATTCAGATTTTTTCAAGGTATAGAACCCTGTATGGGCATCTAAACTCAGTCTTCTCTACAAGTAACTTCATCATTCATGGCACAATTGCATCACAAATCAGAGATCCAATTCTTTCGTTTAAGCAGTATTGGTACAGCAAAATCTTCATCAAATGATAATTTCTGATTAATTCTGCCATAGGCTAAGTTGGCTTCCGCAAGGGCAATGAAAATATAATAATACTGAAAAATCTACACTTGGAAGATAACTTGGATATGTGTTCAACGAAACGAAAGTAAATTCCAGTTCAAGATGCCAGCAAGAGTAGAATCAAAGTTTCATACTCTTTGTGTGAGGTACTGAGTGAAGTGGAAAAGTTAATGAACATCGAATGGTGGATACCGTGGACTTTCAGCGCTCTAGCAAATCTCTCAAAGCGTTTATACGATATGTATGGCGAAATTGCTTCTGCTGTCGCATCCTACGTCAATGAAAAATACATAAAGCTTTCATCTATCTTTATAAATGTCCTACTCGCCTACAAAATATAACAAAATTCGGTAAAAAATCATGAAAATGTTTCGAAACATGACAGAGTTGACGCTCTTTTGCCGAGAATAACGCGAGTAAAATGTCAGTCATTATTAATGGGCTGCACTCAGACTCAGACATATATTCCTTTTTTAAATTAATTTTTCGGTTCAAAAAATATGATAGCGTGAGCAAACGTTTGTCTCAGTGGATAACAGATTAAATCTGTTTTATTGATCAGCGCTCACGAATATTCTTTGATGCACCATTGAATACTTACCATTTTGTTACACATTGTTATTTACCTTTATTTCATTCAACTCAAAAAATAGAGCTTCTCTTCATTTGCCCAGTTTGATGTTAAATTTATGAAGGCTTTTTACCTACATACAGTGTTATCGCACGCTTGATCTTCAGAAAGGATTTTAAAAAATTATTCAGTTTTTATATCACTGTAATAATTAATAAAGGTATATTCACATTTTTTGTACATGGCGTTTGCTGCCCAACAAACAGCTTAACAGTTGGCTGGTCGTCGCGTGAGACAAAAGCCTCTTGAACAAATTTTATTCTGGGATTTCAAAAATTTGATTTCAATTCAGGGGTTGTGAAACAACCTGCTTTTAAACAGCTGTAAATTACTACAAGCTTTTCAATATTCCGTATCTTAACTCAACGCAGCCTTTATTTCTAATTGGAAAGTTACGGAAAATTATGCGAGAAATTTCAACAGCCACAAAATTTCACTGGATAATCAAACAAACGACGACAAAATTATCTTAAAATTCTTACCATTATCCAAAACTGGACTGATGAAAATACTTGCGCTGAGTTTACTTGAGTTATGACCAGTTATTACCTCTCAAAAAATGAAAAAAAAACTTTCTTGATGTTTTGAAAACGGCATTCAGCATTCACAAACGACATGTTCAGATTTTCATTTCACGGAATAATTAGAATGCTAATTGCCCGCCATATCTTTGCATCTGACAGAAGACTTGATGATCTCGTTGCTTTGAAATCAAAAACACTCTGGAGAGTCTGGACAGTAAATTGCTGGACAGTCTGGACAGTCAGTTGCTGGATAGTCTGGACAGTCAGTTGCTGGATAGTGTGAACAGTCAGTTGCTGGATAGTCTGGATAGTCAATTGCTAAACAGGAAATTGCGAGACGGTATAGACAGTCAATTGCTGGACAGTGTGAACAGTCAATTGATGGACAGTCTGAACAGTCAATTGCTGGACAGTCTGAACAGTCAATTGCTGGACAGTCTGGACAATCAATTACTGGACAGTCTTAACAGTCAATTGCTGGACATTCTGGTCAATCAATTGCTGCACAGTCTGGACTATTAATTGCATTTTTTATTTGCTCGATGATAGAATTGCAAAATAAAATTAGAGCAGACTATTCTCAATTGCTTATTCATGCTCTGGCAGAAAAATAACTAGGGAATGCATAAGATGTGTGTAGAATAAAATTTAATTCAACATATCGTTGGACGACGCACATGTCTTGCATATGAATTATTTCCAGTCATTTTATTACATAAAACATAGAGAAATCGATGGGAACGAACATTAAGCCTGGGCAAAACATGCACAGACTTATAATCTAATGTTTCACCGCTTATATTCATCGTGACCGAGACCTGAATTAGCGCAAGTGGCTCAGGCTGCGTGCGGTGAATATTGACTCACCTCTTGACCAGCCAATAATTTCTTCGTTTCTTATTGCAAGTGCGCGGTGCAGTTCTCTGCTGGTGCACCACCTTAACTTTGCACATCTTTTACGACTCTAAATTGGCAAATCATGCATGGTTCAGCACAGTGCTCTCTATTTCTGACGCTTGGGTTTATTGTGAATGGTTTGATATCCGCAATGGCATGCTCGAAATTAGAGTGAACTCATTTTAGATTTAGATACCGTAAAGTTCTTACATATAAAAGATATAAAAAAAAAGTGTGAGTCGATATATACCTTCTAAATTTTATTTAAAATGATTAATAATGATTAATAATGAATGATTTCAAATAGAATATAATATGACATTAAATTCCTTGCCGAACAGGTATGTGGGGAGAGACAGAGACCCCAGGCGCCGGCACGACAATCCTGCAGAAAACTCACAGCCTGCCGCAGTCGCTGCTGGCGGCCACCGCTCATTTTCCAAGTGAGCTTCTTCTAAAAATCTAATAAATTATTCAGCAACCAGAAACCAATCATTTTCCACGCGAGATGCTATACATTATTTTGTACTCGAATAAATCATTCAGCGATGAGAAGCCGATTCTCACCAACACTCCTCTAGAAGCCATTAATTCAATGCTAAATGCATTTGTTTCTATTAAATCAATGCTAAATTCATTTGTGTGTATTAAATCAATTCTAAATGCAATTATTTCAACCATTGAACTACAAGACCTAAATTTAAAATTTGTTAAGATCACGAAATCACGTTTGGAGCCTTCAGGATCATAAAATTCATGCTCGCAACGGACATTACACACAAAGATTCCAGAACTTACTCGACTTTATCCTCTCAGTGGAGTACCGCGTGGACCCCTCAGTGCCCACGAAGCTCGTGTTGCTCATGCGTAACCCTGCGGAGGCTCTGCTTGCGCTGCGTCACTACCATGCTGCTGGTCACACTGGCTTCGCTCAGCCGGCGCACTTTCGGGGCAAAGGTAATGACTTACTTTTAAATTTAAAAAAAAAATACCTGAATGCTTAAGCCGTTATTAAAATGAAAAAATATACCCTGAATACCCGAGAATCAACCCGTGTTAATTGTAATTTTTGAATTAAAAAAGTGCATTGAATGCTTAAGCGGTTATTAAAATAAAAAAATTTATCCTGAATAAGCGAGAATCAATCCGTATTAATTGTCATTGCAAGGTCACACGGGATTCGCTGATCCAGCGCACTTTCAGAGTGAGAATAATGTATTAATCTTAAAAAGTAAAAATAATATTGAAGAGAAATTAACTCCTTCATTCCTCTAATTTATTCCTCCTTCATTCATGAAGAAATAGTCCGTATTAACTGGACATGATAGCGCACACGTGACTCGTTCTGGTAGCGCACTTTCGGGTGATGAATTATTCTTAGAAAATTTGCCCGAATACATTGAGAAATAATCCATATAATTTGGCCTCGCAGGCTCACCCAAAGCTTCGCAGTGCTAGATTAATTGCGACGAAAAAATATTGAATAATTCAAACTAAAATTCATTCCGAATGCATAAGTAAGGATCCAGGCGTATCAGCATCACCTGGATAAAATGATAAGGAAAGGTGTCTATGATGGACGTGAATGATGAATGAATTAAGCAGTCGCATGCATTATAAATGTTTAAAAGAACAGCGAATATATTTTAGATATTGCCTGTATTATTTAACTAGCGATTTTTTGTAATTCCTTGCGTATGTAAGTAAAATGTACACGCCATTTTCCAGTGCTACTTAAATAAAATATTTTTCCCTTCTGCAGAAATCGTGAATATTTTGCAAGTTGAACTATTAACCTCCATAGCGACCACAAAGTGAAAAATTCATATACTTTTCGGTCACCTGGAAAAGGTTGATGAAAAATAAGCGAAAGATTCGCGAATATCGAATTAAAAAAATGATTTATTTTCTCTACTGTCTCTTTCTGATTTATTTTATTGTCTTTTGATTTCTCATCCACGCGCGCGAATTACTAACTTTGCAGTCGATTAAGATCCGCTCGAGCAGCTAGCCTCGAGAGGCTGAAGCGAAGTGTCAGGCTGAATGGCAGCCTGACACTCAGCGAGGCTCGTGGCAGCGACCGATATTAGGCAGAACAAAGGCCGGTCAAAATAGATGGACTCGTCAAAAAGATTCAAGTCGCGGAAATTTGAAATTTTTCGCTTGATTCCCAGCTTAGATATTGTTAAATCGGAATGTTTGTTGAACTATAGCTATACCAATATTAGTAAATGACTTAAAGTTCTATGTTTTACGTTCAAAGATTTAAATAATTCTAGTTTTTTTCTAAGGAGAATTTATTAAAATATAAAATAATCGGCCTATAATTGGCAACTCCGGTGGTTTATATCAGTGATGAAACGTTGATGGAGTACTGAATAAAAAATTTATGTGATGTGACAAAGAGGAAGGCCCTGATTGGCTGACTATGATGAGCTGTCGATTGCGCATGTATTATGGATGGCTGATAAATGAGAACGAAATCAACGCTGAAAGAATCTTTATTCATCAAAAAGATTAAAGTTTATCCTCAAATTCATTGATATTTGGTCTGGAAGTAGTAAAACTGACTATATTTCTGCATATATAAATGAATGAATCTAATAATAATGGTTATGATTTAACATTGGGTAAGTTTATAGTTCGGACAAGTCGTAACTTTTTTGATAAAACTCCCGAATAAGGAATTTTACTTAACAAACTTGAATATAACTTTTTTGAAAAAACTCCCGAAAAATGAATTTTACTTAACAAAACTGAATCATAACTTTTTTGATAAAACACCAAATAAGGAATTTTACTCAAAAAATAGAATCATCAAATAAATTTGCGAGGTGCACTACTGGGCAGACAATATAACAGAGTTTTCGGCGCTGCGTGCTAAGTTATGTCATCCCTCACGATAATTCGTCATCGACTTGACCGTACGTTGTTGTTTTGCGTTCATTAATCGTGGTGAATTTAGTGGCGAGGCAGCGCATGAAGAAGCAATTGGACTTCAAGTTTAATTTTTTACGTCACCTCCAGGTACTAGAAGAAGTATATGTGAATGATCAGGAATTAATTTAGGGCTCGCAACGTTAATAAATTTGAGCAGAAGCAATGGCAAGAGATGAAGTTTAAAGAAGTGTTGGAAAATGTCTACAATAAATGGATACCTTACTTTCATTGGGTGAGGTAAGCATGTAATGATTTTCATGTCGAAAACAGTTATTCTATCGATCAGGTCCACAGTAGTGGATCTGAAAAACATTCATGAAATTAATTTCGCCAACGAAATGATCAAGAAATGTTGAATGACTTGGATGCGCCTTGCACAAGCTGAAAAACCGACCGAGTTATTGTACTTGCCAGACACACTTTCGTACTATGACTCTTGAGCTGCGTAGTCAAGAGCCGCTAAGCGTCACGGTAACGACTTACCGCACATAAAGGATTCATTTCCTCATTAAAGATCATTGCATTATGCAGCTGCGGTGAATGACCCTTTGGTGGGGTTCTAAACCCGCACATTTTTTTGCTTACGTTGACTGGAACCTCAACTATCAAAATTAAAAAAATAGAAGGAAATGAATCTCCTATTTCAATTAAATTTCTTGCAATATTTCCGTCTAACCTTGATCCATTACTCAGAATATCAACTATTAAACTGAATTAGTCACTTCGATTGGTAAGTTAATGGTCATTGATAATATTGAATGTTCTGCGTTGAAGCCATTCTTGTATTTGAATAATATTCAGAAATTTTCAACTTGATTCTTAATTTGACCTTAATGATTGATGATAAATCACCTACTTAATTTTATTGTCAATGTACCTAACACACACAAAAATCATATATGTCAAATTTCCCTAGAGTGATTTTATCATCACCAGCAATCGATTACCTTGAAACCTATCATTATATTATTTCTGCAACTGAGTTTTTATATATTATCGTTATCATTATATTATAATATTATATTTATGTATTATAATTATTAATTTCATTATATTACTTTTGCAATAGTGTTTGTTTTCATTCATAAAGAATATTATTATTCAGACTGGGCAGAGTTCACCAGTGAGCGATCCGTCGCATGGTTTGAGCTCTACAAGGCGTGGCTGCAATGGCCGTCATCGTCTATGCTCGTCATGCACTACGAGCAAATTCAGGTGATTTTCATTCAGTTTTAAATGAACCTCTTCAAGTTAGTCGTGGGAATCTGGTCTGTGGATTTCGTAAGAAAAAATTTGTTCTTCCGATTAATTGTTTCATGCATGCCAGGAACCGTGCTATCAAAAACAATTACGAGTTCGTAATTTCGTCAGCCAAGCCGCTAAGTGTACTTCAGTGAGTTTTGACAGTACGGCCAAGTTCATAAAATAATCAAGACTATAAAGGGAGACTCCTTAGTTACGGTCTAATGATCCTGCAAAATGAACAATTATGGGCTGAATTTAAGGACTCATTCCGCGTCTTCCTGTGCAGTCGAGATGCGCCAGAAAGAAGCGCTGCTTGCACGTGCCGTTAGAACTACGTAGATATTTGTGTGCCAAAGCTCCTGATAATTTAACGCAAATTATCGAGCAATCATACCGTTGTAAATATAATTAATTCTGAAGCAAATACTTGAATAATTGTTATAACCAAGATTTGTAATTGTCTTCTAAGTACGAATTGTTCTATAGCTACAGGACATAATATCTTGTTACTAGGAAATCGTGTTACTGGAATCCATGAATTGCGGTCTTTTTATACACAAATTTCCTAAAATTACCTGCATGAAATTTTTAAAACACAATAATTGCCCTTCAAAATAAGTGCTTTTTTCAATAAATCTATTGAATTATTGCTATAACTTTCAACTGAACTTTCATTCACGACGAACAAAAATATTATCATTCAGAGCATTGGGCATTTCAAACATGATTCAAATTCAACATTAAAACTTCGTTTTTTTTAAATGCCAATCATGCTTCTGGATTAATGAAGCGTGTCTCCAACGATCAGGCAGCGCCGCTTGAGGAGTCGCTTCGCCTGCTGAAGTTCCTGGGCGCGCCACTGGACATGGGGCGCCTGCAGTGCTCCCTCAGGTGCATCCAATATTTCTTATACACTATATTCTGTGGATATATTTCTTATACACAATATTCTGTGAATATATTTCTTATACACTATATTCCGTGGATACATTTCTTATACACAATATTCCGTGGATACATTTCTTATACACAATATACCGTGGACATATTTCTTATACGCAATATTCCGTGGATACATTTCTTATACACAATATTCCGTGGGTACATTTCTTATACATAATATTCCTCTCCATTCCGCTAATAAATATTGCCGAGGATCTATTCATCGGTCCGAGAAAAAGTTCTACTCACAAGTTTTGTCGGCAAAGTTTTCATTAGTTGATCATCTGTTGGATATCGGCCGTTCTGTGGGACAATATTCCAAATCATTTTGGAATGAGATAAGAACACATTGAAAACTTCACCAAAAATAAGTTATATAAATTGAAGAAACTTTAGTATGAGAACATAATGACTATCAGCACTTGAATGAATTGATAACAATTGAAACTTAGCTATTGAAGATTCAATATTTATTTATCACTAATCGATAATATATATTTCTTATACACAATATTCCGTGGATACATTTCTTATACACAATATTCTGTGGATATATTTCTTATACACAATATCCCGTGGATACATTTCTTATACACAATATTCCCCTCCATTCCGCTGATAAATATAGCTGTGGAGATATTCATCGGTCCGAGAAAAAGTTTACACACAAGTTTTGTCCGCAAAGTTTTCATTAGTTGATCATCCGTTGGATATCGGCCGTTCTGTGGGTCAATATTCTAAATATTTTGGAATGAGATGAGAACAAATTGAAGGCTCCACCAAAAAAGTTATGATTATTGAAAAACTTTAATATACGAACATAGAGACTATTAGTAATTGAATTATTAATAATAATGATTAACCAGGAATAAAAAATCATCATAATTATTGATCGTGAAAACAATTGGAACTTAACTATTGAAGATTCAATATTTATTTATTACTAATTGATAATATATTGTGATGATGTATTGATTAATTACTACCAACAGTGGATTAAAGGTAATTCGAACTAATAATCTTAACTACTCAATCAAAGAAGCTTAATCGATAACTTTATTATCTATCACGGCCGGCATTTGCATGATTAGTATTAGTATAAAATACTAATATATTAGGATATTAGTATATTAGTATATTAGTATATTAGTATTAGTATTATTAGTATTATTATTAGAATATTATTATAATTAGTATTACTACTTAGTGCTTTCTTATTTATTCGTTCTAGATACACTGAAGGACAATTCAAGCGGCCCAGCTACCCGAAACACATGCAAGGATACTCGATACCTCGAAACGTGTCCCAGTACCTGCAAGATGCCCAGCGCCGCTTGAATCTCATCCTTGAAGAGAAGAATTTTCCTCGCATCCCCGCTCATCTTTACAGGTTTTCTCCCTCCGTCATAGACACGATTTCGGCGTTTGCTAGATAAATTCACAGTGCGATGTCTGCAAATGACTAAATGCCAGGGGCTATACTTTCAAAAACAGCTAAGTGAACGTAAGTACTTACGCTCTATTTTCTTGTCTCTGATTGGTGGATTTTGCTTAAAAGGCCGTCAATGATTGGTTCTTGAACATACGATCTCTTAACTTTTTTTAAAGTATAGACCCAGGGCCTATACTTAAAAAAAAGTTATAAGAGCGTAAGTTCACCAGCCAATCATTGACGGTCTTTCAAGCCAAATCCACCAATCATAGACAAGAAAATAGAGCGTAAGTACTTACGTTCACTTAGCGAGTTTTGAATGTATGGCCCTAGGTAATACTCATACATTATGGAAATAAATACACATTCAATAGTAATTTTCACGTACGAAGATTTTATTTGAATAACAATTTGCTCACCTTTTCACTGACAACAAAATAAATGATATATCAATAGAAAATATATATTTTGCTACGATAAGTTGCAGTCCAAATCATGGATGTAGAAACAAAAGTTGCATTTAGCGTTCCCAACTTTGGTATATTTGTGTGAAAAATTACTGTGAATAATATTGAGCAATTGACTTCACCAAATTGCTTAAGTACAATTAGCAAATTAAGTATTAAAATCACTTGGCTGCTGAAGTCGCAAATTTATCAGGAATTTAAAAGCAAAGAAAATAGCCAAAAATTTCACCATTTCTTATAAGAGAAAACGTTTCGGAATCCAGCTCCATCGTCAGTTCAAAACCTAGAACACAGGTACAAGCAATTAGTANTAAATGATCCGAACATCTGTTAAATAGTGATATAAAGTGATACCAGTGATATAAAATCTGGATATACAAGTGATATAAAATCTGGTTGGTTGGGTCCACTATTCCCCATGGACCAAATTACGTGATGACAAATGAGCTACATTCGCTCAACTTGCAACATAAATACAAATGCGAGCAATGAACGATCTCCTCCGTCTTTGACCTGTATAACGATCGAATAATTTACAATAATGATACATGAAAGAGATACATTCATCTTGTCATTTAATGGAAGCATCTGTATAATTCAGGTCGCACCCATGCATTAGACTCACCGACCACATACCTATAGCACGAGAATGAATATTGTAGCAATAAATCGCATGAGGTTTTCTAATGGATAGTTAGTCCCATCTTTTACGCGATCGATAAAGATAGTCGAAAATTATGATGCGCATATACACGTGGTTGAACTATTTATGTGTTAGTTTAAGCATTCATATAACATATTAATATAATAAATTAATTATGAACGCGGCTCGTATATTTAATTTGGGATCGCTACACATATACTTGACTTGGAAGCGTGACACGTATACTCGACTTGGAAGCGTGACACGTATACTCGACTTGGAAGCGTGACACGTACATATATTTAATTCACTAGTATTGCGAGTAAATCACATCACACATTATATCGATTTAACCGTAATGTTGTATTGTGCATTATTTCACATGACCCAATATCCTTCATTACACATTACATCGCATTGGGCAATAAATCACATTGAGCGTCATATCGAATTGCGCATTATATCGCATTGCGCATTAGATCACATTGCACATTATGTCTCATCGCGCATTAAATCGCATTGCGCATTAAATCACATTTCACATTATGTCTCTTCACACATTATATCATATTGCACATTAAATTGCGCGACATATATCACACGGAAAATTATACACACCGCATTAAAACCTCCCTCTAGAAATAGCACTCGGTCCCCAAATAAGAGGAGGCGCTGCACGGCAATCAGGATAAAAGCTCGAAGCTTCTTTTCTGTTGTGAAGTTCAGCGCGGCGAGTGCGTAGCGTCTTGTCTGCGTCAAGATGTTGAGATATTTCAGTTCAGCGATACATAAATTCTTGGTGGAAAACAACAGAGTTTGTAGAATTGAATTTAAACTTTTCACTTTAATTTAATATCCTTGTAGATAACGCAGATATTTTTACAGAGCGGTGGCTGCACAAAAACTGTGAAAAAAAAGTTTCATTGTGAATTTCTAGTCAGACATTGACAGGGGTCGCATATGCTGTATTAATATCTGAGCTCCAATGCCACATTAAAATGTAATTTTTTCCTTGATGAGTTCAGAGTTTAAAACTGAAGCAAAGGTTGTAGTACTAAGGGCCTGTTGACCAGATATTCTATTGAGTTTGATACTTACGCAGACTGTCATCGTAATTAAATAACTCGGCGAGAGCCGATGAATAAAATTTCGGTAGTTACTAACCGATAAAATGCCGCTAGCACTCTACTTAATTTGGGGCTAAATTCGCAGTCGAATGTCGCCTCCGAGACTCGCTTATGGTATTTATTTACAGGAGGATTAATCTACGGTAAGCAATGTTTCCTTGCCATTTGAATGCTTAGCAATAGGATTGTTCCTTTTAATTCCTTGCTGTTTGCACCTGGCAATGATGCGCAGGATGAAGTGCAGGATGCGAAACAGCGCGATGGATGCCTCATGTGTATGAGATGAGTTTGTTGTGAAGCGAGGAATTATTTAGTGCTTTAGTGATTTAACAGGTGTAAAGTAAACCCAGACAAATAATTATTCATTTCAATACTGAACATCCCAGTGCGTTATTTACGGCATGGCAGTCACGACTTCATTGGATTGAATGAAGGATCATCAAGGGTTCAGCATCATGGTTATGCAAAAATTTCATTTCAATTTATGGAATATACTTCATGCTAACGAATTCTGGTCGAATGTTATCCGAGAATATTTTGGGATTTTATGTTGCGTCCATATAAAAACGTTAAGTTTATCGAAAATACTAAAATAAAAATCTAAGAACAAATTAATATCGAACAAACCAGACATCAAGATGCTTTTATTATTATGTCTATCCTTGTTCCGAAAACGAGTTTAACCGAAAGAAATTTCATTGCTAACGAGACGCACATACTCTGATTGCCAGTTATGTATTCCTTAATTAAATTAATTTGGTGTTAGACAGTAGCAAATTGCTGGGTAAACTCACAAGACTATAAACTCATAATTACGGGTAAACTCACAAGACTATAAACTCATAATTACGGGTAAACTCACAAGACTATAAACTCATAATTACGGGTAAACTCATAAGACTATAAACTCATAATTACGGGTAAACTCATAAGACTATAAACTCACAATTACGGGAAAACTCATAAGACTATAAACTCATAATTACGGGTAAACTCATAAGACTATAAACTCATAATTACGGGTAAACTCGTATGACTATAAACACATAATTATGGATAAACTCATAAGACTCACCCTAGACGCCACAAGACACTGAACACAAAACGACAAAGTCCCGCACCTCACAAGCCAAGACCAGCGGAGAGGAAGCTATGTCCTCCCAGAAAGCTTTTAAGGACTTAATAACTCCCCTCGGTAATGAGCAGATCCTTCATTGCCATTTTTTTCCAACGCTGCCTAATTAAATCAAGAAAAAATGGCCCTCGAGGCCCAGGAGCTGTGCTTGCCAAAACAGAACTGCATGGAAGCGAGTGTTTGAATTTCTGGGTTTTTGGCCCCAATTGTTAAAGATTTTTTTTTAACTTTTCCTACATCTGTGGCATTAATGGCAAGAGCTTTTGAGGGTACAATCTCATTATCCTGCAGTCCAAAGATAGAAGTAACAATTTTCTAACCCCATTAGCAATGAGACGAACGTTCTTGGACCTAATGAAACGAAGGAAATTGAGAATTTCCTTACCTGAAAATGTATAGTGTTGTGGATTAATGTTTTTCCCGTGACATTGCGTTTAAAAATTTTATGTACAAATTTGCTTCTTCTCTGTTATTTATTTTCCCATGGCACTTTGTGTTTGACATGCCAACCATGTTTTATTCTGACCACTCTCGATTCACTGACAGCAGAAAAACCACGAAAGCTCAGACAATCCATGTTTAAGGATCAAACGAAAAGGCGGAAATTGCTGATTTTCAGACTCCGTCGAGAACATATGAGTTAGTCAATGATTTAGATGATTTTAAAAATTCGTATAAATTATATTAAAAATTAACATGAAAATTGCAGAATTAAGAACATTAATTCACCTAAATGAAAAATTTCGGAACAACAGTTCCGGCTCAAATCTTTTTTTATAAAAAAATTAAATAAGTAAATAGGGAACGCCTTTTCATTATATGATACTTTCTGGCAGCTCAACAAGTCTTCTCACTTCTTTTTAAACAAAGCCGGCAGAAATTCAGAACTAATGTGAGAATGAGACATTCTCTCGCTCCCCGCAATTCATTAGGCAGAAGCGTCCTGAATTATACTGCACTTGCTCGGCGCTCTGTACGGGCCCAAGATTATTCAAGTCCGTAGCAAAGATACGTAACACTGAGCGTTAGAAAAACAGACATCATTTTGAGAACAAGTCTCTTTTATGCAAGGTTGTAATTATTATTATTATTCGTATTTTGCCATTAATTATTAATTATCCCCACTAATTCGACTACAACTTTATCGGATAAGGAAAGATCTACGATATCCGACAAGGAAAGATCTAGGATTGATAAGGGTTCCTTTTGACAATCGAAGAAGATAAAATTTTGATAATTTTAAAATTATGAAATTCAGTTTTTATATGTCATATTATTAATTCCTTGCATTATTTGGTCCCTAAATGAACAGTTATTCATCAGTAACATTCAAGTTTCTCTTTTTCATCAGAAAAGTAAAATATCAGCAGCTCATAATGTAAAATTGAACTGAAATATTTTATAAAAATAATGTATTATTATTTACATGAACTATAAGCTTCTCAAAACTACTGGCAATCATCTCATAACCCAGAAAACACTAGTAGAAAAATCTTGTCATAAGCATATGCTTATGCGTTTAAAGGTTCATAAACTACTTACAAAAAATTCACGAAAAATCCTGAAAGAGATTATTTTTTTCCATAATAAAGTTTACAATGACGAGTTAATTCACTGGTATATTCAGATTGGTAATTTTTGTAAACCTCCTGAAAATGAATAATTTTCGACTGTAATAGAACAAAGAACTACATCTCATTTGACATGAAATTCAGTGTGTGTTATTACCAGAAAAACACTATTAATCTAAGAGAAAATGAAACTCCACGACAAGGGTCCTCAAGCACAGAAAGTTCTGATGGAGCCATTAAGAAAACAAACTGTCCAGTGATGGTCATGAACCGCGCGCAGAGACTCTGTAGTAACTTGAGTTGAGTGTGTGAAGGATGTTGAAACGAACAGAGAAAAACTGTATTGTTCAACGTAGAAGTAGTAAGAAATGAAAAAAAAATTAGCAAAAAAGTTTCACAACTGTTAACGTTTCTCAATGTAGTTTTATAAGTCATTTAACCATAAGTAACGGAAGAACCGTGATATTTTAAACTTTTATTCTAATTTATCTATGACAAAATTGCTGATAATATCAATTTCCGTCTTGTCAAGAATTTATTCTCAAATTAATATAAAGCAAAACTGACGCTCTCCTGCATTCTGATTTCACTTTTCTTCACTGGCCGCTAGCTCAGACCAGCCACTGATTGGCTCGCTATATGTATAGGTAATGGGCGCTGATCCCGAGGTAATGGAGTGTGAGGTGATAGAATACATTAGCACCGCGCTTCATTATGACCTGCCTTGCTCTCATATTGACTTTCGAGCTCAGGCTGACTCTGAGCAAGCTCGCTACTAAATGAACGAAATCGCGAAGCTTCGACTACACTAACTTTACAAGGACTGGCTTGGATTGGTTGCATGTGAATGAAATGACTCATATAAGGTGCAAAAAATTTACTTGTATCACTTAGCGGGCTTCATATTCTAAAATTTTTGTCGACTTAGTTCTCTATGCAAAATAATGATCCCGACCAGTGTTTTCTAAAATTAAATTCTGTCAAACATCAATATTAAATGTCAAAAATTCTTTAGCTTAACTTTCACTTACACTTCGTTTTTCATGTCTATTTATGAAAATCCGCAGTACGCAGTCGAGGTAGGATTTCGAATAACTCGCTTTTGAAACTCTTCCAAGAATGAAACAGCTACACAAAATAAGGTATATTATCATTAAAATTGGATAAAAATTTAACGATGAAAACGAATTTATTTTGAAATTTAAGAATAATTATAAAGGTCTCTATATCCCAGCAGAACGACGGGCTGTTCGACTTGTTCATATTTTGACCAGATAAAAAATTTTCATACATTATTTCTAATTATTTAGCAGTTTTAATTTTTTAACTATACCTTCTTTATAAATTTTCTCAAGTAAAAGCTTCTGTCACAATTTATATCACCGTGATCATTTTATATTGATCATTATAGTGTTTTGGCCAGTTCTTCTTAACAAATAAGAGTCATTCATTCCGATATTAGCAGTTAAATTTCCTAATATGTATCTTCCCTTTAACCCTCATTCTACCCTACCCTCACATCCAGCTTCCCTCATTAATGCCCTAGAGCGGCAGCGCTGCTAGAAAATCTGACTGCTTCTCCGCCTGTGCCTTGCCTTTGATGCCTAATTTCGGCAAATTAAATATTTGAAAAGTAAAGAGTTCGGAGTTATGGTAAAAGATCTGAAATTTATGCCTTAAGCTGGCCTAAATGAAGAACACATGGTGTTTCAGCTAGGTGAATATGATAGTAAGGGTTTAGTTATTGTTCAATATTGAGTGGTTAGTGAAATTAAACGATGTTGTAATTTAGAGATTTTAAAGTGGATAGTTGAGTTAAATCTGTTTAATCATAATAAATAAATTATTTTAGGCAACCTTGTTTCGCCGTAGTTACCACGAGTGCTGGGGGATTTGAGATCATTAAGAAAATTAAACTTTCTTTATAAAGGCTAAACTGAAAAAAAATTGTATCAAGCACAGCTGAATATAGCAGACTTTGATATTCTAAAGCTGAAAATTTTTTTGAAGAAGCATTTCGATTACATAATTTAATATTATATTATATTATATTAAATTATATTATATTATATTATATTATTTTATATTATATTATATTATATTATATTATATTATATTGTACTCAACAAAACTGCACAAAATAAAGCATCACATCACCTCGAGCAGCCGCTTGCATTCACTGCCAGTATATCCCAATTAATTTTGTCTCACTCACAATATTTTCACCTCGAAGCGCAATTGCTTTAACGATTATGAGTTAATCTCAGTAAGCTCAGTACTCGCCTTCAGCTGCGTCTTATCCCCATAGAGCCAATAAGTTACAAAGCAACGCAGTTCGTCTATAAAGAAGACTTTAAACAACGACACTCTGCCTAGCGTGCGACGCAGCGATAATTCTTGCCACTTGCATCGACCTGAACGAACCCTCGACCAGCGAGCTGCCTGGGCTTCAGAGTTCAGTCTTCAATCACCGTCTTACTTTCAATGAATCTTTGCATCAAAACTTCATAATTAGGAGACTCAATGAAGACTAGAATAAGAGGCTACAGTAGTGAACAGAAATAAAGTTCATTCATTCATAATGGGAATAAAGCTCATCCATAATACAGAAAAGAGGTAAATAGGTAAAATTTATATTTATTTATAAATTTATAAAATAGGTATAGGTAAATAGGTAAAGCATTGAAATCAAATTGATATATGAAGCTCTATAATTATAGAGAAAGGAGCACATTCATGATAGAGAAATAAAGCTAACTCATGATTCACGGCCTCACTGCCATATGAAGCCTAGCTGCCGAGACGTGCAAATGAGCTCGTAATGACTATGACCTCGTCCTCCTTTAACGATATCGATGTCTACGCCTCGTCACACTCATCGCCTATCTTCGTTATGACTCACCGACGCAATAAAAGCCTTCACTTAAAAAAATATTACAAATGTTGTCCAATATGTAATGAACTTTCTGCAATTAGCCCTGATACGTTCGTTTACCGGGGTAAACTGCATGGGTCAAAATGGCCTACACACGAACAAAAGTACAGAGTTATTTGGAAAAAGGCTCCTACAATTTTCTGTGTGTTGGCAAGAAACTCCTACAGTCGGAAGTGATGAGGTGGTCAGCCCTCACGTTCGCAAATGTTCAAGTACGAATATTGCTGTATTTTAGCTGATGTTGTTCTCTATAAGACAAATAAAAAAATGGTTATAAAATGCATTTCTTGGTTTTCAATCAAACTTTCATTTAATGTGCAAAACTTAAGCGTAAGGAAAATGTCTAAGTGTACGGAAGACGAAGACAATCTTATCGGAACATCGCGCTTGAATACCCAGACAATAACCATAAATTCGAACGGGTATTTTTCTGATTCGCAACAGCACATATTATTCAACATTTGTCAATACGTTAAAAAACAAATTCTTAAAATTGAAAGCATCAATCTATTTCACCATCTGCAAAACTTTCTACTAAATATACAAGGAAACGAATTTTTTTTCTAGAATCGCGCTTGTATACCCAGACAATAACCATAAATTCGAATGGGTATTTTTCTGATTCGAAACAGCAAATATTATTCAACATTTATCAATACGTTAAGAAAACAAATTCTCAAAATGAAAAGCACCAATCTATTTCACAATCTGCAAAACTATCTACTATATATACACAAGTCAACGAATTTTTTTCTTGATTTGCAAATAAAAATCTCGATCTATCATGAGTTCTCAACAGAAAGTGTAACATCAGAAAATCTTCCGAGAAGAATCTCAAAGAAGCACAACAAGCGAGCGCTTTTCAGCGGCGCACAATAGCATGTAAATTAAATACGCTATAAACGACCGAGCGTGCGGTCTCTGTCTCAGTTTAGTGCGCCCTTGGTTAAGTTTAGAGCCGCGCGGGTAGCAGGCAAGGCGTGATCTCGACCGCTCATTGATTACTAAGAGATGGACGGTGGTCGGCAGGCCGACGCTCAGAGGCTTCGTGGCCAAAAGATGGTGCCTTTAGATGCACTTTAGGTGAGATAAGAAATGTCGAGGTGAGATGCATTAACAGGGAAAAGGTTCCCAAAGATCGTTTGTTTGAAGACAATTTCAGTTGAATTTAGAAACTATAGTAAAAGTCCATTTGGAGTGACATCGAACTTTGACGTCCGTTGTTTAATAAGAAAGCTTGCCAACGATTCGAGCTCTATACTAAAGTTATCATATTTTCTGCGATTGAAGGTCGTGTTCAGACGATTGTGGTGTTTACAAAAAGATGAACTATGGGAAGTTTTTCGCCCTCTAGAGAATAAATCTTTACATTTTTAGTCTATTTGTTTTGGCAATTCGTTTGTTCCCAATGCATGAGGCTTCAACTCCCGCTCGCCCGCTGCATTCATATAAATCAGCCAAATCCAATACTTCATCCAGACCACTGCCCAGGATCGCCATGTATAATTCCTAAAAATTGAACACACTCTGCCCTGAGGCCATCATCAATTCTATTCAACGATAAATTCCTTCAGTACACTTCATTACTCTGTAGTAGTTCGTGTTTCCGCTTACAAGGCTCTTTCTTCCGACCATCATAATGGCGACATTGACGTTCATTTATTGATGCTGTGCGACCGGTTGTCATGACGATATACGATTCCCTTGGATGCAGAGCCTACTCATTTTTGTCTATTTGTGTGCATGATCGGTCTTGCGCGACAAACACCTCAATAGGGTGATTGCTTCTCTGCCCCCATCGCATAACCCACGATCTCTCACTCATCAAAGACCTTTTCATCATGGCCTCCATCACGTCTCTCATCATCCATCCCTCACCCAGAGCTTCTGCTTCTCTGCCCCTATCGCATAACCCACGATCTCTCCCTCACTCAGCACCTCTGCTCCATTGCCTCCATCACATCATCCATCATCCATCCCTCACTCAGGACCTCTGTTCCATGGCCTCCATCACATCTCACATCATCCATCCCTCACCCAGAACCTCTGCTTCATTGCCTCCATCACATCTCCCATCATCCATCCCTCACCCAGAACCTCTGCTCCATTGCCTCCATCACATCTCCCATCATCCACCCCGCACTCAGGACCTCTGCTCCATTGCCTCCATCACATCTCCCATCATCCATCCCTCACTCAGGACCTCTGCTCCATTGCCTCCATCACATCTCCCATCATCCATCCCTCACTCAGGACCTCTGCTCCATTGCTTCCATCTCATCACCCATCATCCATCCCTCATCCAGGACCTCTGCTCCATTGCCTCCATCACATCTCCCATCATCCATCCCTCATCTATGGCGGGCACTCCACTAAATCTCTTGACATGATGTCGGCTGGGGTCGTTAGTGCGGCGGGGCCATTAAGCTAATTGCAGGACGAGCTCCCACCGCCCATGTGGCGGCTCAGCCCAACCATCAAACTCGGCAACGGCGCTCATACTGCGCCGTGACGGCCGCTATATAATATAGCACCCTTTGTGTCGTGCGTATTTCCCATTATTGCTTTAGTTTAGTTATATTCTCTCCCTCTGAAAATATTATGTTGGTCCTCTTTTCTGTGGCTATTGTTGTTTCATCAGATCAGTCTCCGCAATTAAACAATAATGAAAGTACTCCATCCAGGATCTTGGTCAAGCAGTAACTGAAATATTCATGTTGGCTACTATAAATTGTTCTGTAAATTTTTTGGTAACGCACACATGAAAAAATTGAAAATTAATTTGAATTTAATTTAATTGAAAATTAAGCCAAACTTGCATATAGTCATTATAAATTATTTGAATTGTACAGCCTCTGAATTGAACTCTTAATTTTAATTTCCACGCGCTGCCTCCTTGAAGAACATGTTCTGATGTTCTCTAGCCGTGAAGTTCAATAATTCCTTCATTAGAGTATAGAGGAATATAGATAATTCCTTCATTAGAAGAAAGTTTAATTATTCCTTCATTAGAGCTTCACCAATATCTAAACTATAATGCTTATATACGTTAGAAACTCAAGGCAACTATCTTGGGTATAAATTCCAACGTAAGCCTGAACGTCGTCATGGGAAAAATATGTGAAGCAAGGCTTGTATTCGGCTCGTGAAGCAGCCGTCAGTATAATCCAATAATTCAAGTATGAAGACTTAAATGATATTTCTTATAGAGTACTGTGAAACTTCTTGTATTGATTTCACAAAATTGAAACGAGTCACGTCATTAATGATTAATATTTCTCTAATGATACCTGTAATGATTTTTCTGATGATATCTATAATGATTTCTCTTTTTTATTTTTCTAATGGAACAATTAAGTGGCGCAATTTTGTATTATGTAAGACGAACATAAGTGACCTGATGCTGTGACTTAACATAATGCATTAGATTGCTCTGTAGTTCTATTGAAATCATAAAGATTAAAATTTTGGGCTTATACCTACTGCGCTCGATCGTACTTATTTAGCTTTTATATTAGGAGGAGCTAATTCAGGCAATTTTAAAGAATATATCATCATACTGGCGCTTTTCGTATAGTAATATTAATATTTGATAACTTCAATTTATCGTTTACGATTCACATTTTATTTTCATTAAATTAATTCGGTCAATTCAAGTAATCAATGAGTAATAGGACTGGAGCTACATTTTTTTCGTTAAAACGCGTCACTATCCAACTAAAGTGAATACTTTTAGAGCAACTTTGATTCATCAACCGCTGAAAACGATAACAATAACAAATACCCAATATCCAAATTCCTGCCTTTATTCCACAGTTTGAAATATTATTATACTAGAGATTCGCTTCTAAAATATTGGACCGCATTTTACTTTCGCGAATTCCTAATAAATTTCAGGAACAGGTCCAGTCCATTTACGTTTTCCAAAAGATTGCAGTTTTGAAATCCGGCTATCGAAACCTGACCCAAACACACGCCCAATAAATAAATATTTTTTGCACTCTCAATGAATGTTTTTTGTCTGTTTTTTGAGGGTACACCTGGCGTGTTTTCGAGCTATCGCTAACAGAGTGGCACAGAAACATGCTCTATATTTTTCAGAGAGCAATCCGAGGGCAGCTGCGATGCATAGACATTTTCAGTTGAATTGCCTAGCAACTTTTTTGTGTGCGCAGTACACACGTCGTGGGTGAGCATCAAAACAGAGCTTAGAGCAGCGGAGTTTTTATTATTCATATGTAATCTTTTATTGTCGTTTGGAATTAATAATACAAAAAAAAGTAATGCAGCAACTCAAAATATTTTCAAAAATTCGAGAAGTTTCAAAACAAGAATTCAACTTGTTTTCACCATAACGAGAAATTTCTTATACTAGAAAATATAGAACTAATTGACCAAAAGGAAGGGCTTCGAATTTTTTAGAAGTTATCTGCGGAATGAACTCAAAACAAATACCCTGAAGCTATTGATTCGCGTCTTTTGCATCACGCGATGCTATAAAGTTATTGCACTTTTTGTTGTGAAAAACAGAATCCAGGTATGGCATAGAATTTTTTTCATATGAAGTGTTTGCACTGCGAACATTTTGAAGTATTCACAATAGAGCAGCAATAGGCACGTGTGTTGAGAAAACAAACAAGATTTTAAGAGTGACAGTCATAAAAGTTGGAATGTTTTCAATATCAATCCTCAATTAAATTTAAAAAGATCAAAAGTGAAAATCGTAAACACGTCAGTGACGAACATGAAAAAGGAAAATAAAAATTATCATATTACGAGCTTGGTTCCTGAATAAAATCAAATCATGCCATGTAGTAGTAGCATCGTGCTAAATAGCATCGTAAAACAGTATCATTTTCCTCTGAAAGGTAGACAGGATTTTATTGGGAGAGCTCACTTAAAGTGCTGAGGTGAATATTCATATATTCAAGCCTGCAATAATAGATCACTTGTTAATTTCGCTTCAACTCTATGGCATTCTGCGCAGTTAATCATTAATTTATGCAGCATTAATCCAGCAGCGCGTTTATTGAAACGCGGCGTAATCCTGATTGAAATTCTCTTTCCTTTTTCCCGACGAAAAAATAACGGATGGAGGATTGATCGATGAATTGCATTACGCCGGACAAATGGATTTAAATTGACATATACTAATAAATAGAAACGATAAATATTAACCCATTATTATTTTATTACTTTTACATCGAATTATGACAAATGTTTTTTTGTAATAAAACACTTACATTAATGAACTTTTGACTATATAATCTCGTATAAATTACGTTCTTCACACCAGATAACAGCGTTTATTTGTAACTGAACATATAGGTAATATTTTATAAACGTTTTCCGGCCAATTCCACACTTATGAATATCATTAGGGCAATTTCAGGCACTCCAGTATATATTATAATCTTATGTTATACAGTATATTATAGGGCCGATGTATTGGGGATCTCTGAGTATTGCTCTGATTTACGGAAACCCTTGTCTGCTGTACCGCTCCGGCGATGCTTGTAATAAATTGACCTTTGGCTCAATGAATTCTACTATTCACAAGACCGAATAGCATTGCTGCAGACTTCCGTACCAGGCCAGTATGTAGCATTACTTTCCTCGCTATTTATTCCCATGGATGCGTTCAGTTACAACGAAGATGCAAGTCCCAAAGAAGGAGGCTACTTATGAATTTATTTAATGAAAATACCTTATGATTTAAAATAGTGCTCCTAAACTAGCGCTGCCCAAGTGTGAAGGACATGACGAAAAATCGACGAAATTGGTATTCACCTCGGACGATCAAATCCACGTCCCACGTCCCCAGCGATTCCTGCACGTCCCGTGACATGTAATCCTGGACCAAAACAAACGGCAAAGAGGCTGAAGAGGACATTAAATATCCTGGAAGCGACAATTTGTAATTGCAAGTTATAAAGAGAGAACAGGCAAAGCCGATGCAAAATTTTCCGGTACAGATTATAAAGAAGTGGATTGATTCCTAGTCATTTTGTTTTCTTTTGTGTACATAACATAACATAACATAGTGATGTCGGCGCTGATGTGTAGGCCTGATGTGGCCTGTCGCCGATTCTTTTCCTTTTCGTGCCTTGTTCACAGAAGATCTAATATGGTGTCATTTGACCGGATCTTTTCATGACTGACGATAGTTTGAAGTAGCTACTAGACTTCCACCGGGTTCGATAAGGAGCTAGGCATTTCAAATCTGAACATATATTTTTCCGTAGCTTTATCTAGTCTGTTCTTGAACGCGTTCATACTTGGAGCGCCAACGATGTCATCGGGGAGGCTGTTCCACATGTCGGTGATTCGAAGCGAGTGTTCACGTGAATAATCTGAAGAGCCACGACCATAAATCCACGTAGATGAGTCCCAGCAAAAAGGTTTGTGGATATAACAAAATATTTTAGGTTATAAATATAATCTATAAACGGTTGTCTCTTGTGTAAGTACGTGTTGCCTGGCAGATGCCTCAGCAGTCGCTCCTCCTCTCAAATATCGTGGGTGATCGTGCATGGTGATCGTTAGTGGCGATCGTGCGTGGTGATAGTGCGCGAGGTGATCGTTCCCTGTGAGATCGTGCGTGGTGATAGTGCTTGATGATAGTTCCCGGCGATCGTGCGGAGATCGCGCGTGGTGCGTGGTGATCGTTAGTGGTGATATTGCGTGGTGATCGTGTGTGGTGATAGTGAGGAGATCGTGCGTTGTGTTCGTGACGTGAGCGTGCGTGGTGCGTATGCGTGAGAGTGCATGGACTGTTACATGACCGAAGGTTCCGTATGAAAGATTTATCTCAATGCATTGTTAATAGAAGGTTAGTGGAGACGGAGCACAAGAAAACAAATGAATGCTGCTAAGACTCAGCATTAATGATGAAACTATTAAATTCGTCCAAATGTACGGATATTAGCGGCAAATTCAATGGTAAAAATTAAGGCTTTCACAACAAAAGTTTCACAAAGTTCACAAAATAACAAAAACAGTAGAGAGCGACATTAATTTCCTTTTCAAATAAAACAGAGTATGGTCTAAATATACATTTAAACGCCAGCTAATTACTTCCATCAACACCCGCTTCACGTTTCGGAGGAAGCAAGCATTAATCACAGTTCATGAACCAACCGTTCTCGTCTTCGAACTGCAATATTCCTCGTCTTCATAATAATGAAGTTCAACCTCGAAAATAAATATGAACTACGAATTATCGCCCAACGATATGTGACATTTTTTGCAATGGATATTCGAGTTGCGGAAGAGAGGCTCGTGTTTATAAATTATTCTTCTAATCCGTCACATAAAATATTAATTTTAGGTAATAATCTAATTTTAGGTCAAGATTATGAATTTAAAACATTATCTTGCCAGTGAATTC